ATTTTTTGGGATGTTTGAGTGGATTTGCAATGGATAAAGTAACAACACTGGGCCAAAGCAAAGGTAAACATTCAACTTACAGTAATGTGATACTACTGGATTGTGAATAGCATCATAAAACTGTAGTATTTCTCATTATAAGTCAAACTCAAAGGTCTGATTATTTAAATAAAGTTTAGCAGTTGTTTCACTCAATTTAGGTGAACCTTTTATCTGAACTTTTACTTTTGTGAACAGCGTCAGGAGGGCTGTAAGCTAACAGTGGAAGGATATTTTCTTAATGAAATCAACCCCCTTGTAGAGAAAGTCTGTTGCCTACTGATTGTGTAAAATTGTGGTTGAAGTGAGACATCATGCGAATAACTGGTCCATAGTGTTGTAACATGTGTAAGGTGTCAAATAGGACGTGTAATTGTAAGATGTTACAGACAGAAGGTTGTTATGTTACTGAGAACAATGAAAGTAAGAGCATAAAGTCATGTGAAGCACACAAGAAATATTTAATTTTCATGCGTATAGAGCAGTTTTCAACTGAGTATTGAAACTGATCCTGGATTGCTTTGGTTTTACTTTAATGATGTTATCCTTTTTTTCTGATGGGTATTTGGGATTACTTTGCTTTTTTTTTTCAAAACTCAGTTGAAAATTTCTCTATCTACAGTGTTAAGTTAATAATTCAGAATTGGTTCACTTCGTGATTTTGATGTGGTGCGGTGTAGATAAACTGTCTTTTAACCAGAATGGGAGCATCAGGTGTTGTAGTGAGAGTCAAATAGTTAAGCTCAAGACTGTATCGAACTGTAGCTTAATTGAAGTGAAAGACTTGTTCAGTCTGATAATGACAAAACTTGAGTAAGCAATTGAGATATTCTGGGTCCTGAGTCATAGTAAGACCTTTTTCTTTTCAAGGAAAGTAAGCAGTTTCCTTAAGTTTGGGAAATGAAGATGAACTTTGTCAAATGATGTTAGGAAAGCTTGCCCATGAATGAAGTTTGAACATTTCTTTGTCTAATTGTCTAACAATTTCCCTGTGAATAAGTCAAGTGGTGCCATGTCATTGTAATACTTTCCAGATGATGATTAAGCTCTTTCTTTTCATTTGTTTGCTGGATAACGTAGCGAAGAGACATGTGAATAAGGGTTTGGAGAAGTAATATGATTAAATATTGAAAATATCGCTTACTACAGTGCTTGTTACTCGTTAGGTGCTGAAGAGAGATCAGCATCAATTACTGAGGCAAATAGTTCCACAGTTCGGGATCAAGAAACTGCAAGTGAGCTCTCGGAAAATGGCGACAACTCAGGAAAGGATCAGGAGGAACTAGAAGGTGGAAACTCCATGAGCGAGGAGGTGTGATGAAGTGGTGAACTTCTTGTTTAGAGTGCTTTTTTGACTGAGTGTCGTTCAGCCAGAATTGAATTATATATATAATCACAAGATTATATATATAACCAATCAGAACGGGCACAAATTCCTTGCGGGTTGCTCGGAAGTGAACAGCATAGAATATTCGGAGTCTGAAGGGTCAATCAGAGCGCGCCTTCGACGCTATCCACTGTTTTAGTGTATGATTTAAAGGTAAATATCAACTTTTACTCAGGAAAAATCCGCGCGGAGATTGTGCAGAAAAATTGAGGAAGCAAGAGCTCGAGAAGAATTAGAACGTGGAAATTTAGACAGGTAAAATGTTAGTTTGTCACATATGGTGTAACTGCTGGAGGAGGGTACTTCTGGCCTTCAATAGGTTACCGTGGTATTTATTGATAAACGCCGCGGCGTCTTAAATCTTTTTAGCGTTTCCGATGCGGCGTTCACTCCAGGAATGAAACTCACTTTCGTGATTAAAAGTATTTTCCAAGAGGTTTGAATATCACTAAGTTGTACCTTGCTTGTACTCATTGCTTCTACCCAGAGTCAGTGAATAAATTAAGCTTCCTTCAAGTTCTAACCTGTTCCAGGCGTCTAATTAGTAAACGGAGCGATAGCTGCGGAGGAGTAAGAAAACGGGCGAGGCTTGGGTCGGATAATGCGATCCGATCCACGCCTCCCGTTACCTGGCTTATCGCGTTAATCGTTGTCGTGCTCGGTTTTATTAACTGAACGCCTGGAACAGGGTAGTATTTTTCGTTTGGGTGCAGTGTTTGTTCGAAAGTTTTCCTCCTTCTGCAGCGCTTAATAGAGTTAATAAGGTATACATTTGGGTGGAATGCCTTTTCAAGCTGTGAGGGATGTAAAAGTTAGGGCTTGAATCTCAGGGCAGAGTATTCTGAGCATCCCCCTTCCCATTTCCACACCCCCTCCCCCCCAGTCTTTCCTGGTCAACTCTTTAACTTTAAATTTTTATTTCTATATTCTTTTAGTTTGGTTGTCGTGAGCCGTTTTCAGCCTGGCCCCATTGTAATGTCTCTCCTTCCTCGTCTTGCCCCATCCAGACCCTTTGTGGTTTATTGTCAGTACAAAGAGGTAAGGTTCTTGCTTTATCTAACACCAGCCTTATACTAGCGGATATTTTTCCCGGAGTCGTGCACAATCTGGGAAGTATTAGGGAGCGGATTTGTATTGTGAACGGAGGTGGACAAATTGGAAAAAGGAACTTCTAGGTTCGGGTGCTTTTCTAGAGATTCCTCGTTAAGGCAGTTTGTTCACAACAAGAGAAGATGGTGTTATTCTAGCGTCGATGTGATCACTTAAAAAAAATTTGCTGTGTTCATTTTCAGCCTTTGATGGAGTGTTATGTAAATTTGAGGGAGAAAGGTACAGCTATTAATATTCATCTGTCTGAAACATGGTGGCGACATTATCAGGTAAGAGAGCTTGTGTGTGTTGTTACAAACTAACCTTCCTGCAAAAAAATAGGCGAAAATCTGTCACAACGGAACAAGACTGTAGTTCACTTAGTTCGAGGGTGCATCAGGGGATACGAAGCTTATTGTCCACTTATTCTGAGCCATAGTGGGATAAAATGCGTTTTTATCCGATCATAACGAGCGCACACAGGAATTAACAAATGCAATCCTTTGCAAATAACCAAAATTTGATTCAGCTTTTAAATTTGTGACATTTGCCTTCCTCACTTAAATGATTTTCCACGTGCTACTGTGTCAATAACAATGCTCTCACAAAATTATTTAAATATTAGAAAAATATTCCACGAGCGCGCCCTATGGGCCTCGTTGGCTATCTAGCATCTCATATGCAACAAGCGCGAGTGGAATTAATATTTATTGGAGACGCCCCAAAATATAGATAAATATTCCCAACTTATTTTGTACGAAAAAAAGGAATGTTACAATTTACAAAACCACTTCTGGTTTAACTCGCCTTCATGCGCGCGCGTGATGTGATGGCTCATTACCTATGATGACAAAGCTAACGAAAACTCTAGAATTGCATTATCCAATGATCCAGTCTCTAATGACACGGATTGTGTCTCAAGAAATTCAATTCAATTCAGTTCCAATTCTTTCAAGACTATTACATGCAATCCGTGTTCATTTTCTCCATTCTATGATTTTTGTACATCACAAAAAGCTGTCATTTAAAGACGTCAAAAGCAGTTTTATCATCAACATTAATGAACCGCCAAATAACTTATCTTAATTTCTCTCCCCAGGTTCTCCCTGCCCGCACACACCCGGAAATCAACATGAATGGTACAGGAGGGTATCTTCTGTCCGGGATAACAGTCGAACCAGACACACCCACCACAGAGACACTACAACAAGCCAAGAAACCTAAACTTGACGAATGTGGTTGACTAGAAATAATATTGAATTGACTGTTAATTACGTCAATTTTTTTGCCAACGTTAATTATTTAAAAGACAATGATTTGTTATTCGTCTTGTCGCACGCATGAAACAGAGATAAAACAGGAGTTCCCCTTGCGATAATTTAAACCCCAGACCGTTGTAAGAATTTCGCGTTCCAAGGCTCTACCACTGATCTTCATATAACTCGCTGGTATTAAGCTACTTGTAGGTTTCTATAAGACAAGCGTTGTACATATCTCAGATGAATGACGTCGGAAGTGTTGAGTGTGTGAATTTCTTGCTCAATGAAAAAAGATTTCATTTATTTTTTATGAGCGTGAAATAAAACGCCCTCGAGACAAATCAAAACCACTTCCTGAATTCGATGAGTGAGGTTCATAATTTACCCTCTGTTGATCTTTTAGATACCGTTCTTTGCTTTTACAGTTGTGAGTTCTGTGTGAATCTTTAAAAATTTAGTCTTATTCTTCTGGGGTTTTTTAATAAAGGCCAGTTACCGGCGGTCTATCGCCGCCTATTAAAGTACCTACGCCATCTGTTTAGCCTATGAGCACTCTTTGATTCCTAGAGTGCTGGAAGTTTTCGAAGTTCTAGATGTCAAATTTTCCCGGGGGAGCATATCTCTAAACCCCTTACTCGTGTTAATCTGTGGTTTCCTTGTCATCTTTTCTTCTTGTCTAGAATAATTGGGATTCAGTTATTAGATAGAAACTGTCACGAAACTGTCTGGTTAATTGAATGGATATCAGGTTTTAGTTTCCTCAATCCAATTATCTTTGAGCCGAATATTCGATTTTTTTTTCTTCCCCCGCCTACCCACGCATGACCCCAATGCGTTAGAATTTCAATTTTATCATGCCCACAACAAATTTACTCTTATCAAACAATTAGCACGCTTACTTGTGACATGAATAAAGGGGGTACGTTTCTAAAGAAACTGTGATACTACGTAGGTGGGAGAGTAGAACAGAGTAATTTAGTGTAAGCGACAGAGTGAAAACGTAAATTGGTCACCGTAAAGAGTTGAAAGGCTGACGTTTCGAGCGTTAGCCCTTCGTTAGAGCGATTAAACGTCAACTTTGAAGCTCTTTATGGTGGCCAATTTACGTTTTTAACTCAAGATGTTAACACTAAATTACTTGTGACATGGTTTTCCGCTGTAAAATAGCTATTAAGCTTACGTAAGCTCCCTTAGTATCATTCACTGTTATCAGTGAAACCTAAGCTGTCTTCTGCTTCTTGGATCGTCTCTGACCTCATTAAAAAGTATTTTCTTTTTATACATACAGCCATACTGGTGTTTTGTGAAAATACACCAAGCAATTAGTGAGAAACGCTCACAAGCTAGGTTTTAGGAGTAGAGTGGAATCGGAAATTATAACCATCGGCAATTTTCTCATGCTCTGGGGGAAAGACGAGCTTCATTTAGACTGTCCAAAAACAAGATTTCGTATTAATAAAATCAGACAACAACTCAGTTCAAACCTTCTGTTCGCAAATAAACGCACTGGCGTAAAATGGTTTCTTTCTTTCCTACAGCACACTCCAAACGAAGTTTATGTTTCTCAAACAAATTTTTATAATTTTTACCATTTTTAAATTTCAAAACGCCTTTCCTGACGCTCGTAGGAAGTTGACACAAGGATATCGGATGAAAATGCCCTCCCTCGCGAACTCATTTCCTCTACAGTTGTATTTCGCAAGACTAAAAGGAAGGTAGAACTGCAATGTTCGATCACAAATGTCAACTTCAACAGCATTTTTCCGCCGCATGCAGAAGTGTACGATGATTAAGTGGGATCCCTATCAAGTTTACATGTCCTCCCTCACATTTTTTCGTTTCCTTCGACTTATGTTACGCAATCAGGAAAACTAAACACGTTTGATATCCTTTGTGGATTGTAATGATTTGAAAAATCAGATGAATCTTCAGTTGCCAAGCATATCACCTTTTCTTTTTTCATATCCAAAGTGAACAGATTTTCTAGGACTCGTCTACTAAACTAGCGGAAGTGTTCTAAATGTTTTTTTACTTTATACGAAAAAACTCATGCCTACTCTTATTCGAGTGTAAGAAGCATCTTAAGACGGAAAAGGAGAGTGAGCTGATAGTTAATGCTGAGATAGATCACAAGACTTCTCATAAGGTAATCTAACATTGAATGGCGCTTTTTGGGAATATGAAGGGATTCTTCTGAGAGGAAAAATTGCTGACAGGGATTTCGGAAGAAAACTTGGAAAAATAAATGTCATGTAAAAACCAACAAAAAAAGTACTCATCAGCTCAAAATGTTTATAAACATAAATAGGAGGCAAAATAATTTTGTCATCATTTTGTTAAAAGAGAGAGAGAATTTCATGCAAAATAAGAATTTTAAAGTACACAAAAAAGGTAAACAAGCCAGAAATAACAGGCCGGAAGAGCTGTGTAAACATGATCCTAACTGGTAAAATGAACCGGAATTGCTTACTATCTTTATCAGACCTGACCTTATTATGAAATTATGGAAGGATATTTAATGATCACAGCTGTCAAATCTCTCGCGAAATATGCAAGAGATCCGAAATAGCATATTTGACGTAAATACGCCTGTCACGTACATTTGTTATTTTTATGGTGTGAGGCTTCAAAATTTATTACTGGCCCATATCACATGCAGAATTTTGGAATTTTTAAATAGTTTGCTTTGCTTTTTCGGATATTTAAACGTATGTAAAGCGTGCAGCTCTAAAAGGTGTTCCGAATAAATACTTGAACGGTGATGTATATATATTTTTTTGGATTGATAACGAAGACCTTGGTTTTTGGGAACAAATAAATCACGGTTTACAATGAACCCAGATTTTTATACTCGAATCTCAAATCAAACTGTTGAGTCATGTCTAATTATAGCGATGACTTGGTTGGAAAGGCAGTTGGTATGAAGTCAGATTCTTCTGGGGGATTCCCCGGCAAGCAAACAACTGTACGCAAGGTTACCTCGACTTCAAGCCTTTTTTTTAAAATCGGTTGAAAGGAATACTGTGATACCCTTTTGCTTAAAATCATTTAAAAGGCGTGATCAAACTGTTTACTTCTTTGTTTACATGTTTTCTATTTTAGGATTGCTGGAAAGTACTTTACATGATTTCGCCTCGGCAGAATTGCAACAACATTTCAGCTGTCGAAAAAGCTATTATGATAACGATTTTTGAAAATGATATGCTTGTGAATTTTTAGAGACCCCTTCTAAACTTATAATTCCAAAACGTAAGGAAGTCCAAAAATTTTAAAAAATGTTGTCACGGTAACTTGTACAATGTCAACTTTCTTGGACACGGAAAGTTCTCTGCCAACCTTTGTACCAATCATATACACTCGACATCTGTCACGTGATAAGATAATGCAACCGCGCCCGCTGCGGAACTGCCTCCATTTTGACCAGCCATTTCAGGGTTTCAGAATTGGAGCTGATTGTTTATGCGGACGAGAGCGGCGATTTTCGAACGATCGCGGTCTCCAAACTCTTGATATTGTCCGCAAGCTAAAGGAAAAGACCACACGGAGTAATATCTATGTAGAGCGTGCTCAGAGCCGATGCAAATGCCTAGTGCTTTAGTTCAAAGCGAAGGAATGGATACATTCACGGGGAGAAATTCTCCGTTGACGAAGCTTATGACAGGGGAGTTTTGCACAACGTTATACGACTACGATGCAGTAGACGACGATGAACTAACCTTCAAAGTGAGCGATCGCATTGAGATTTTATCTCGAGATCCCGAAGTAAGCGGAGACGACGGATGGTGGGTCGGTCGTGTTGAGGGGCAATCACGAATCGGCTTGTTTCCTTCCAACTACATTACGACTGATACGAAAAGGACCAGTTTGACCGAACCTCTCGAAATCGATTTCAACGAGCTCGACCTGGTAGATGTGATCGGCGTCGGTGCATTTGGAAAAGTTTATTGTGCTCGATGGAGAGAGGAGGAAGTTGCTGTAAAAGTCGCTCGCACTGAGACCTACCAGGACTACAGCGAGATTGTGGACGCCGTCACCAAAGAAGCCAAGTTATTTTCCATTTTTCGGCATCGTAATATTGTTGGTTTATACGGTGTTTGTTTGAAAGAACCGAACTTTTGTCTGGTTCTAGAATATGCCCGAGGTGGTGCTCTCTCTCGCGTTTTAAACACTCACGGTAGAACTATTCCTCCGAATGTTTTGCTAGACTGGGCCTTGCAGATAGCTCGTGGTATGTATTACCTTCATAATGAAGCTCCGCTGAGTATCATTCACAGGGATCTCAAGTCTGGAAACAGTGAGTAATTACATTTCGTGTTCCTTTTCCTATTTGAAGCGAGAAAACGGAGGTGTTCCACGCATTGACCCCTAATTCTGCCGCCAACTTGTAATACATCACCATTGTTTTCCTTCGTTTGAACATTGTCAGTTGTTATTGTGAATTTTTCATGCTCATTACGTTTTAATGATGAAGACAGTGAGAAACTTTGGAAAATTGTTTTGCACGAAGTTCATGATATTAAGGAAAATGTAGAAAAGCGGCCAAACGGTGTTTTATTTTCTTTCCGCAGTCAGTAATTCATACCATTGCCTTCTTGAGTGGCTTTTGTTGCGAATATTTCAGTTCTAAGCTTTTGTTTTTCACGTTCGAAACAAAAATTTAAAACAATACTGGACATGATTAGGTGATATTGTTTTTAGTTCCAGTGAGATATATTTTCCCGCAGCATAAAAAGGTAATTTATACGAGGGAACTGAGTGTGTGTTGGGCTTTCCCAGACAGGAAGTGAAAAAATTTTTACCTTCTCATCGGAGATTAAGACGAAAATCGTCTTGCTTGTTGAAGAAATTTCAGTCAAGTCTCAAAAAGACCCTCAGTATTTAATTTGCACGCAAACTGGTTTTTATATTTCATCTGTCTTCGATTGTAATAGAATTTTACTAATTTTGAGATCGACATGCCTTTATCAGATAGCCGCTTGTAGGAAATCATTTTAGTCTCGTCCCTATCTTTGCATCTATGTAAATTGAAGTACCACAACATTTAAATACAGTGCTGTCGTTTGTTACTCTTCAAATAGCCTTTGATTAATCGTTCGATTTGCGTGTTAAAAACTTCGTCACCGCATAGTCGGATGCCTTCTCATTTTTTATAGTGTAACCTCATTTTTCTTGTGAAAGAGCCGTTACTGAATTTCTACAAAATGAAAAAGTTATTTGTACATAAATGAATCAAGACAAGAATTTATGACACAAAGAATAACATTCATCAGTATTGCATTTATAAGAAATTGTTTGCATCAAAAACGACATTTACCTTTATTCCATTTTCCTGTTGTGTATTCCACATTCATTTTGTTGCAAGGTTATTCAACAATAACAGTGAATTTTAAAATGACATAGCATTTTTGTGTGTGCTCTGGTTTATGAAAAAAACAATTAAAATAATTCTGATTGTGCTACATTTATTTTGCACCTATTAGTTGTACAGAAATAACATTCTTATCATCTGAGATGAAACTCCTTTCTCCATTTAACTAAGCATCGTTATCAGTGTCACCATTTACTGTAATTTTACTCATGCGTAAACTTTGAGATCAAAACCCAGTAAGGTTTCTTTTGAACCTATAATTCCATCTAATAACATCATAAATATTTCCGGTGATTTGATACAAATAAATCAGTTTTCAATGGACATCTTTTTCTAGTAAATTTCAGTTTTGAAGATGGTGAAGAAGTGAAAGCATTGGCAAATGAAACAAAATCTAATATTTATGCCATGAAAACTTTTCAAGCTTTGTTAGGGTTGAATTAGATACCATATTACTGTTATGTGGGTCCTACATAGTGCAGAACCTGTCTTGTGTCAATCAGACCTTGACCTTGCTTAAGTTTGTTATGAAGAGTTCCATTTTCTACCAGTTTTGCTCCTCAGAATGAGTTTCTCAAGGTTTGCCAGAAATAAAATTACACTTTGGTTGTGTATTATTAGATTACAGATTTGATAGTATGAATGTGCTTGCTGTATGCTGACGTTGTTTAGTGTTTGTTTAAAAAAATTGGCAGTTAACAAAGTTTGGTTAAATACAATTGAACTTACCTTAAACATATAACTCCCACTCATTTTATTTGTTAAATTTTTTATTCTTTTTTTTCCAGTTTTACTCTTAAATAAAATTGAGGATGGAAATTTTGAGAATGTACTGAAAATAACTGACTTTGGGTTGGCTCGAGAGATAATGAACACAACACGAATGAGTGCTGCAGGAACATATGCATGGATGGCTCCAGAGGTGATTAGAACCAACACTTTCTCGAAAGCAAGTGATGTTTGGAGGTGGGTTTAAATTCTACTGAGTAGTATTTAATAGTGATTTTCAAATTGAACAAACACATGTGGAAATGTTCCTTGCAAAATTTTAAACAAATTTTTCAGGGTTTCAATATTTATCTCACAGTGAAAGGTAAAGTCTCTCTGTTTGACTCAATCTTCCATTTAAAATTTTTTACTGATAACTGTACACTGAGCTTGTGGATTGTGCTGTAGGAACAGATCTCCAATCTCAATATTGAGTGAAATTGTCAATAAGAATCAGAAAAATAAGTTCTCTTGCCAGGGAATGAAAAGGCAACTGGCAATTCCTTACTAGGTTCATGCAACACTACAAGGCTCAGTACTCAGGCAATTAAGGAGAAGTAGGCAAATTTTTTAAAAAATAAAACAATAGAGCATGAATAATATTTCATGTAATTTTTATTTTACTCTTTAATCACTAAGAGTGACAAGGTTCTAATTTCTCCTTACAATATCATCCCTGAATAAAAGGTTTAAGTCACGAGAATAAAGGAAATGATCACCAACTAAAGAAGCTCTTGATTGTTAAACAAATTCTCCTCGCCAGTACCTCAGGAAATGTATAGAGAGCAGTATGGAGAATATGCATATTGATGTCAGGGTGTAAAGGACAGAATTTCTCCTCAGAATATCAATACAATATCAAGCAGAAAAGTGATGAGAATAAAGAAAAATATCAGTTATGAGATTACTAATTGATTCAATTCCAAATTATCCAAAGTAACTTAATGAGAATCATTTGAGAATTACTAATGAGATCTAGGGAGTTAAAGGGTTAAGGTTAACTCTGTTTTTAGCTCTTAGAAAAAAGGGGCATTTCTGGTGACTAATTTAGGAATTAAGCAGCAAATTTTATTGACAAAATGGTTGTAATTTGGAATTGTGAAGCAGGGAAATTTTGGTGATGACCATATTTAAGATACATGTACCTTATTGTTGCAGTTTGTTCTTCCCCCCCCCTCCCCTCCCCTGACTGTCTCATTAAGGTGTATGGAACTAATTTATATCCTTTAATGGTTCAGTTTTGGTGTAGTTTTGTGGGAGCTTCTGACAGGACAAGTTCCCTACAGAGACGTGGAAGCACTTGCTGTTGCTTATGGTGTTGCAATGAACAGTTTAACTTTACCAATACCCAGCACTTGTCCTGATGTTTTGAAAGAATTAATGAAAGGTTAGACTGGTATACATGTACATAATAGTTACTGTTTTCAGCCAACTCCCTAGAACATACACCTTTACATGAATGACCAGCCCAAGGGATCTGTCTGAGAGAGGCATTTGCCATCAAATGGCAGGAGTGGACTACAAGTATCCATGGTTAGGTGTCATTTGAGAGAAAACTGACTGTAATGCAGAATTATGATTGAGGGTTTTCAGCAACTTGTGCCAGAAAAATGCAAGAGACATACATGTTACATGTAATGGCTGAGTGGTTAGTGCATTGGGTGGGTTAATTTTTTTGGTGTACTTGGCCAAGATAGGTTGCCCTCTTAGCACCTCTCTCCAACTAGGATGGATCATATTACTGGAAAATTTCAACCTGGAATGGACTTCTATCCCATCCAGGAGGAGTAGCTTCTTCAAAGTCACTTGTTCCTTTGGAAATTTGCTGCTTTACTGGCTATCTTAGCCCTTTAATTCCTTGGAGTGACTAAGACAGAATTTAACTTTACAATATCAAAACAGTATCAAGCAAACAAGTGATAGGAATAAAGAAAAATATCAATAAGGGAATTCTTAATTGATCCAATACCAAATTTGCAAAACTATAGCATTGTAAGAATTGTATGGTAGATAGTAAAGAGAATTAGTAGTCAGATCTTGAGTTTGAAAAGGTTAGTTTGTCTTTTGTAATCTTTTTCTTACCCTTACTGGAAAATTCATATAGAGAACTAAGGAATCAAGGCTAAATGTAATTTTCTTTTGTTTAGAATGCTGGAATCAAGATCCCCATAAACGACCTTCATTTCAGGGAATTCTAGAAGATCTGGAAGAAATTTCAGATTCTTCCTTTGTGCAAGATGATCCTGACTCATTCCGCACACTACAGGATGGCTGGCAGACAGAGATTGATCAGATATTTGATGAATTAAGGAAGAAAGAAAAGGTATGATGGTGTGCCTTATGTTGATATCCATATATAATGAAAATCAGCCTTAATTCTGTGGTGCAGTTTAACGCTGCAAAGTCAGTTATTCAAAAGTATAACTTTCTTCTTACAGGAACTTTCCTCCAGAGAGGATGAACTGCGGCAAATACAGATGGCACAAGAGGTACATGCTGAGAGTTTGAAAAAGAGAGAAGAAGAACTTGCGCAAAGAGAGATGATGCTTCTTGGAAAAGAGATTAACATGCTAATACAGGTGAGTGAATGATCTAACCTTAATAAAGCAATTCTTCTGTCACCTCTCATTAACATTAAAACACATGGTTATTTGTAAAATGACTCACTACTTACTGGTACTTGCTTTAAGTTTGTGTCATCCAGTATGTAGTCATCAATTTAGCAATGATAAACTTATTTCTTTTTGTTGTGATTAATATACAGCAACAGAAGCAACTCAAACCATCTCCAAAGAAGAGGAAAGGTCACTTCTTTAAACTGAGGTTTGGAAGTGGAAGAAAAATTAGTGCACCAACAGGTTTGAAAATGTTTTACCTTTTTTTTTAATTTTGTTTGCACCAATTGAATACTTACAGCTCACTACCTGAACAGTGTCTATAGAGTCACAATATCTAGTGCAAGAAAGTCACTTGCTTTCCATGGAAATTAAGTATAAGAAGCACTTGTAACCAGGAATAATTCTATTTTTCAACATGGTACGTGTGTGCGGTTTATTGGCAAGACTTTCTTGTTGCCATTTTCAACGTTACATGTAGTTCTGAACAAAAGTAGTTTTGGGTTCCTGATTTGAAAACAATCCCCGAAAAGAAAGAGCTAAGAATTGTGTTTCTTTTCCTTTTAAGGGTTCCAGCATAGGTTTACCATCACGTCTGATATCTTTGACTCAAACCCAGCATTAACAGAAGGCATCAACACCACAGGGCCACCATCCCCTGCAGTACATCAGAGATTCAGACTGCTGTCCTGTAAGACAACTTTGTTTTCGAGTTGTTTACTCTTTTTTGTTTCGCTTTGTGTTTGTTGGCATTTTGTTATTTTTTCATTGTATTTAATGAAAAACTCGGTGGTTACAAGTAGTGTATAGCTACATGAACAATGTATTGCACACAACTTAAATGTTATTATTCGTTATTGTTCAGTTGATGATCCTGGCGAGGTCCCCGTCAGTCCCCCGGACAAAAACAAAAAGATCCGCACGTGGGGACCCAGCTCAGTACATCAGCGAGACCGAGACAAGAGTAGGCGTGTAAAAGCCAGGGATAGCTTTATGACAGAAAGGTGTAACTCAGTTCCTAACTTAGGATCAGTGATAAACCAAAATATTGGTAAGGAAGTTCAACTATGTTGCGTACGATACCACTATTTTTGCCTTGTGAATAACAACTTCCCTTGATTTTGCCACGTTTCGTTTTCTATCTGATGACGAAAATCGACAATTTTGTTTTGAATTTTCCAAAAAATTCTGTTTTTTTTTCATACAACGTGTCGTGTTCGTTCCAAGAGTCCTTTTCTCACTTGAGATGGAATTCACCTTTGAAATCGCTCACTTTTTTCCAATTTTAAGATATTTTCGAGAAAAAATTTAGTTCGCACGTTATTTTCTTTAAGGCTGAAATTGAGGCAGTATATGCTCAGTTCTTTGGCGCTTGCGCAAACATTGTTCTAATTCTTTCTCTTGCTTTATTTCACGTTGTTGCGTATTGAAATTGAAATACAGATTGCGTGACGATTCAGTTATCGTTACGCTTAAAAGAACTTTTGACACATACATGATGAGCATACACGATTTTCTTTTGATTTGACATAAAGAGATGCCAAAGCTAGTGACTTAAACGATCTTGTCGTAAGTTCTCCAACTTAACTATGTTTTCTTTCTTTTTATGAGACAGGTGTCAACGGTAAGTACGTAACAGCAGATAACAGCCCTATGTCCACTCTCAAATCTTCACAGAAAACCAAATCTAAGCATCGTTGCGAGGTAGCTGTTTGCTGTGTTGGTATAATGGCGTCCGCAGTAGCTTTAGGAACTGATTTAAGACAGGGTGCGAAAGATCTTCGTCCCGAATTGCTAAGATTAAATTCGAAATCGGACAAGCACAAGTCACCGAATTCCCGGCGACGGCACGAAGTCGGAAATTCCAATCGTCGATCGTGGTTTGGTTCAACCTCGACCGAAGACACCTCGGTTAATTCAAACTCGAGCACGCCCGTTTCTAGTCCACAGAATGTGGAATTCACTGCACCAGTCGACATGATGCGAGGTCAAAACAAAAGGCCTCTGTCCACTCCTGTTCTACTAAAGGCGACTTTTTTTAGCGATAGTCAACCTCCCTTAACTTACACAGAGCCGAACTCTCTCCGAGGTCGGTCTTCTTCAACTTCGTTCTCAGTCACGGTGTGTCCCGAACAGGGCGACAAAGAACTTATCGACTTAGCGACGGAAAGACGAGACCGAAGGTCCAAGTCGATGGATTCGAGTGAACTCAACAGAATTAACATTTCGAATGATAGTATTTCCAGTTTTGCGGATGACTCTTCGACCAATACAGTGGTGAACTGCAAACGATATTCACAGGAGCTGCAAGACATTTTTAAAATTCCTCCCCCTCCCTTCTCTCCCAGGGGAGCAAGTTCACCTCGCCTGGATTGCAACTCCACGGACTTTACCCCCAACGCGAAGTTTTGTTTCCCAACTGGGGAGGCTGTGGGCGCCGCTAGGCCTCGCCCCAGGCCGTGGCAGGACAGTCTAAGTCCATCACCTTCGTCTTCGGATCAAAGTCCGACGAGCGAACAAGACAAGTTGACGCTATTGGACATGCATATGGAGGGGGAGTCACATGACACGACCCAGCCCCTACTGAAGTCGGAAACGGTGATCAGGGTGCCAACTTCTGAAGAACTCTTTAAGGAGTTTGGCCAGAGATAATGTGTAAAACGTAGTTTTATTGTAGGTAACAGAAACTCCCTCTAATGTTGCATTACGTCCTCCTTAATAGTGATGTGCTCGGCATGTCCACGTAAATCAGATTTTCGCGTTTTACTCCGTAGAACTTTATCATCTTCCCCCACCCTAAAAAAATTTCACGCTATGAAATTTCCACCGAAAATAGGACTTGGTTGTTGCATGCTTCAGGTACAAAACTATGAATATCTATTGAGTAAAATGTTACTTTTTTTTGAGCTTCGAAAATGAAGAAGACGAGAAAAGTAAAATATTCGAGAGCAAAATAGAAAAACAATTTATTTTGTTCTGATTGGAAATTTGGCTGTTCAAACATATTTTATCTTTTTAAACCGTCCCTGTACTGTGTAAAAATATGCGAACAGTGAACAAATTTCGAGAGATTGCTTGGAGTTAGAAATTCTTTTTCGTTTTCGAGGTTTTCCATGATATTTACCTCGGCGGGACTACAAAGCTCGCCTACTTTTTCAGGATAGAGCTGTACTTGTGAATATTTTTCCGTATTGGCGATACCTGTGATTTTTGTTTTAGATTTTTCCATCTCTTTTTTGGGAATTGTGTTAATATGGTTCAAATAAATAGATCGCTGGCGAATATGAGTAAAACGCTCTACGTTCATTAGACCTTTTTTTTTTCTTTCTGATCAAAGGGGCGTTCGTTGTTAAAACGATAAGGTCACCGTTTTCGAGGAAAAATTTTTTTTCACGTCAATAGAAAAGAAAAGATTGGCACTATTATTTTTATTTTTTTTTATAGAAACTTGATACAACGCGAGGGGTACGAAATGAAGAGATGTTTCTTAGTTCTACAAGGTTAAGTCCGAGGGTATGTCTTGGCTTTTTCATCAAGTCCATCAGGCTGGAGTTCTTATCAGACACTCCTGTAAAGTGATATTTTCGCTATTTTTTAGCGACAACAAAATATTTCTAATTTGGCGTTAAACTTACGCCTAAGACCATCAGCATATGGGGATACAAGAACTTCATTCTCCACTAACTTACCCTTGGAATCAACTTTAGGAAGCTATCTAACCAATTTCCATAGAATGGACACAAAAAATTGCCTTTTGAATCAGAGAAAACCGTCTAATAGGAACATTTTTGGACGGAAAAATAAAAGAAAAGCAAGAATATTTGATTTTTGTATAAATTTACTGGCGCTCTGTTACAAATGCTGAAAGATCATTGGCTATGCTTCTCACTATCTATTCCGTGATGTACAGTGCGTAAAATGACAAGCCAAACAGTATGCAGTGATGAACATGAAAGTGGATGAAAAACATGAACCTGTCTTCTTGTCAAGTTTGAACGTCCAGTAGATTTGTACTAAAACAATTCGATTATTCGCCCTCGATTTATGTACGTGATAATTGTTAGGGGGCGTCATTTCATCCTTGAAATCTATTATTACTAACTACGGCACAACATTCATTGTTGATAGTATCATTGCTACTGGGTCCTTTTGATACTTGCTTAGAGATCTCTATTCTATAAGATTTGTAACGCTTTACGGATTTGAACTCTAGTGGCGAGCCTTTTTTTACAGATCTTATTTTATATGCGTAAGAAAATGTCGTCGTTGAATTCCCTTTCCGCACAAATTGTTTTGCAACTCGCAAATCATCAAATTCGCACTTCTCCAGATGTGAGATTGTCATGAATCAATCGAATTTTATTGTACAAAAGTCGCCAAGTCTCTGAAGTAAAATGTATTCCAAATCATGTTCAAGCCCTTTACCCTCTGTGGTAAAGTTGTCCATTCCGTCTCGATAAACAGAACGACTAATCATTTATTAAAGAAATAGAGAAGACTTCAGGTTTCCGTCAACTTTTTTAAAGGGAGTATTACGTAGTTCGCCTAAGAAGGTATTAAAGCGTTGTTCAGTGCATTAGCTCTCACCGGCCTCGCCACAAAAGCAGCGACGCCCGCGTGTTAAATTGCGTCAGCGAGAGATGCGAGCGTCACCGCGATACACGCTGGTTGTAGAAAGGTAATACCGGACCGTATCAGACCCTTCCCAGGCTTCTCGCACGATCGCCTCGCTCACCGTGTCGAATCTTACTGGCCTAGTCGCTTGTACCGCAGCTCCAATTAGAGCCTGGACACAGGCAATGTGTGATGGTAATAGGATCGACTGAAGTCCAATTCTGTCTGTAATCATACGAGTGATTAACAAAATCAGAAGACCGCGAAGCGGGAGTCCAATTTATCAATCACGAGTGATGATTACAGACAAAATTGAATGACAAGAAGTCCTGTTGCCAATGAATCATAACCGTTACAATTTCTGAAAACAACAAATACATATTATAGATCAATATCTCCGGTAGAAACAGTGTCTAAAGCAAAAAAAGTGTCCCCATTTTGGAAATTCCTCAGTTTTTTTTTTATCAGGATTAGTGGTTATTGCTATGGTTATTGTGATTAATTCTGTAATTGGTGGATTTGGCTGAGTGGACTACTTAACTGTCCGATTACAGCCAACTGTCCAATTACACTGTTGGATCATAGCTGTACAGAATGATTGGTGAAAAATAAAGCAGCTAATGTACCAATTACATTTGAGGAAATTGTAATGGTTATGAACCAGTACAACCCCTAGTTCATCTGATCATCCACCATATAGCACCTATTCGATAGTCGCACCTCTCCTGATGAACACAGCAGTTTAGAAGTATTTTTATAATAAACTAATTTCGATACTACGCCACCCCACACTATTTTCCTTTTGTAGTTGTGCTAGATCGTTGGTTCATAACCATCTTAATTCGTTCATCAGGCTTCACCTGTACATATGGGCTGGCGAGAGGTGCATTACGAAATATGGGCTGAATGTGATTTGTAATCGTTCTTAGAAGTAATAATTATTCGGAAACTTAATTGAATGATTTGAACGTTGGATTGCTTAGTGGTCCGGCCACTGACTGAGCACCAATAATAACTAATAGCTGCGTACCCCTTTTGGAATTGAACACCGACCTATAATGTTGCAGGAGAAAGTCCTTATCTATGAATTAAGCTATCCTTCTGTACCCCAATCCGGTCTAGCACAAAAGCTGGGATTTGATAAGACTTCAGTTTGGCCACCAAGCAGTGTCATTAATCAGTGCTCTAAGGCAACACCACCCTAATCGTAATTCCCAACTCTTAACCCTTTACAACCTTACACCAGTGTGCACATTCTCCATGCTTTTCTTTACAAGTTTCCTGAGATGCTGACAAGGAGAATTTCATAACAATTATGAGTTCCTTTAGTTGGTGATCATTTCCGTTATTCTTGAGACCCTAATGAAAACAGGCCTAAGGGAACGAATTTTGGATGTGAAATGCGATCCTGATAGGGATTCATTGGTAATATGGTTACGGAGCCACATAAACAAGAAGCAGAGCTCCCAGCGGAGCAATTTGCTTCTCTTTACCCTCAGACTTTCTCGCTACACTGCTGAATTCCAACAAAGCAACCACTGAGTTACGCAATACAAAGTAAAACTAACTTCCTCCATAAAACTTGTGTTCATTTTTAATGGACTGGTAAAAAAATCTCACAAACGTTTTCGTTGTCACAATATCCATGACTAAGCTAAGAATCATGTCGTTCTCGAGACAAGAAATAAAATTTTTTTACATATGTATAATATATAAATGTCATCTTTTCTATTCGAAGACCTCTAGCAAGACTCTTTTGTTTGCTACCATGCAAAATACTACCTTCTGATGGACACATTTCACTGACATTGAAGACTAATAAATTATCCGGAAATCTAAATTTACTTTATAAAATGATAGGCATAAAAAATACTTCTGTATAGGTAATTTTCTTTGGCAAGAAGCTCTGTCTCCTTATTTGCTTCAAATTTGTCTCAAGCGTCATTTTCTGTGATTAGTAAAAAAATGGAACCATACAATTCTACAAATAGTCGGTAGGTCAGATAAGTTGATGATTACTAAAGAAGGCTAAAATCGAACATGAAATGTATTCCCGAACAAATGGCCGTTTGAAACCCGTTTCTTGGGTGAATTTGTTTTAGATCCTTGGTCAATTCCTGCTTCAAAACAACCGGCTGGTATCGTGGATTGGTACACGGATATAGTGAGCTTTTCGCAGAATGAAAATTAATTGACATTCTTTGTTTTGGTAAGTTTCGCTCTATTCGTTAATCACCAGCGATATTCAAGTAATACAATTTCATTTGGTATAATCAATCAGCACAAACCAAGCAAATTTTAACCATTGGCAATTAAGATCAAAACCAGCAGTGACGCAAATGGCATTTTTCCCGCGCTTGGCGCTGGATGCACATTTTCATTATTTTTTGATAGGGTGATTGACATAAGCTTTCGCTTTGATTAGTCAGAACTTAGTCTTAGTTTTACCACGGTTACTCAGCAACCACTCTACGACAAATGCGTGCTTTTGTGATGCAGTGTTTGTTAGGACTTTCCTCTACATAAATGCTTGAAAACTCTGAATCAACTCAGAAGAGGGAACTTTCGTTTGCTGAAACAAGTGGCACTTATGTTTTGAATCTCCAGTAACCACAGTCGCGAAAGCAAAGTATTCAGGTGTCTCTGGATGAGCCATTACATTGCTAACTGAACTTAGGGGGAAAAACATCCCTTGGCCTCCTTTCTGTGAGTCCTTCATCTCAACTCCATCTATACACACCAATAAAGCAACCTCATTTGAAGGCTGTTCGTGTCCGAATTTTTTCAGGAACTTAGCCTGCTGTTTCTGATATTGTTTGACACATTCACGCAAGTGTTTTGGGCGGAGAGGTGGATTGACAACAGTGGAACAGAGATATGTTACATCAAAATTGTAAACCTTTTCCTCCTCCACTATCTCCCATGAGCCTTCGATGACGTCATCCTCTCCCGCAGAACTGATCGAGGTAGTTCTCCCAGAATTCTTGTCGGTGTAGCTTTCCATTTTGAGATTTTTGTCTCTTTTAGAAGACTTACGACTTATTAAATTTGGCATGGAGGCAAAGCGTTTTGGCTTCAGGCTGCTTTTTATGAAATCCTTCTCCTTTGCTTTGGGGTTTTCTTGTTTTGAACTCTGCTGTTTGCTTTTCGGTTTTTCAACCTGCAGAAAAAAAAATTGAATTATGAGTTAAGGAACCAAGATAAATCACAAAATTCAATATTAGTAACAATGGGACTTCACAAGCACAGAAAGTTAACCGGGTTCTCAAAGCATAACTGAATCGGCGTTTCTTGATGAGTATTTAGATGCAGGCGTGGTCATATACATGAAATCAAATACGTCTTAGTCAGAAACAATGCTAAAAAGATGGTTCAGAGGAAATAGAGACTTTCTCCTTGTGCACACTTTCTTTAGGCAGATGTGGCTTGAGAATTGGATTTCATATCAGGCGACTAGTTAACAAAGCTGCGAAGGCAACTGTTTTTTATTACATATCAAAAACTTCCCAAATGAATGTCACAAATCCTAAACCACATAATGACAACAAAAGCAAACTTCCCTAAGAGCGAGAAAATTGGCTTAAACGTTCTGATTGGCTTACAGGATGGCGAGAATTATTTTAATAATCACACAATGCAGAAAAGCAAAAACTTTTGAAATTCCAAAGTTGCTTTCGACTCTAAATCAAAAATTACTTAGGTAGGATTTGCTCATTAACATACCGTGGAATCAAGATGTTCATTCGGCGGCGAAGACATGGTTTCCAAAGATCCACCACTAGAACTATCTGAAATGAACGAGATTCGCCTTGATGATCGAACCGAGTCCCTCCGTTCGGAATACGTGGCCTGGCAACCAAGCCGGATAGCTTCAGTTACAGCCACTGACGTAGTGATGCGACTACATCGGAACGCATGGCAAATCATCCGGGTCTTTTCCCCTTGTCGTGCATCCGACACAATGTAGCCGAAGAGCCTTGTGTCTTGATCGTAAACACCGAGCAGTAAGATCCATGGAATGGCGTGTTGATGTATTATTTTATTGTCCCGTGAATCTATTATTCGAATTTGATTGGCATGTACTTCAACAAAAGTGTTTTTGAATTCTTTGGGATGTGCCTTTTCCAGGAGAGATGTGATACTTTCGTTGATCAACAAGTACGACTTTTTGACCTTGAGTGATCCGAGATACGAAATGCCAGTGAACGTTGTGATGTCATCATCTCCCAACCAGCTCTCTGGTCCAACTGGAGTCGAGGCTGGCACCTTGAAAGTCTAGGACGAAGGGAAAAAGACAAACAATGTCTAAACTAATCCCTCAAAACTGAAAGATCGATTTAAATTTGCTACAAACCAACTAACTACAAAACACAGTAGAAAAAGAATAAAACATATTTTCTTAGACAACTACCCAAACATAGTGAAGACCTATAATTGTCGTGTGGTAGAAAATGTCGCAAGCAATTGTCGATTTTTTTGCGTTTTAACGAGATAATGTAACATAAGTGTGAATCGACAACTTACTATCGCTATCAAACCCGAAAATGATAAGGCAAATCTACAAAAACGTGGGGAGAGAAAATCACACATTAAAATTATGATTTTTTCTTTTCTGGTGAGGTTGCGAATTGATGAGTTACTGTCACCATTAGTAACGAAAAATGATACTTTAGGAAAAATAACTTTGAGACATTCAAAATTTCAAGAAACATCTCAAGTTATCATTAAAATGAATAAGTCCATAAACGTGAGGGTATGAGTCATTCTTCACTTAAATCGTAAATCTTTTCTTAGGGGAAAGCACTTGAAGAAGAAGATTGTGGTTAATTCTGGATTAATTTACGAACAAGCAAAGCATGTAATTAAAAGTAGCAAACAAAAGTAGATTGTTAAGAGATTTGAGAAAATTGAATTCAACTTTCATCTTGAGGAGTAAAAGCTCATTTTCAGTGCCCTGTTCTAGTGTCCAACATCTATTCACGACAAGAAAGGTAAAGCTGTTTCTTTATGATCCAGTTGGTCAAAGACTACTTCTTTCTCTCTCTCTATCTTTCTTTCTTTTTTTAAATGGTTCATATTTCAAAACAAACGAACCTATGTTTGATGAATGGTGGAGCACATGATTCTCGCCTTGACGCGAACAGCCGGTCATTTTAATAACAAACCGATAGACTTTGTTGTACCTTCAGGAGTCTCTGTAATTTTTTTCTTCCAATCATAAATTCTTAATCTTAAATATATATGAGTAAGACGCGAAAATTTTAATCCCTGTGTAAGACGACCTGAAAAGACAAGCTAACATCCGGACATATAAAACCTCAACCGGAAATACCTAGGGGTGCGTCAAAATTGTCAAATTGGACAACTATACCGTGAACTTTATCCGATTTATGGTCCATTGAGTGTTCTGTTCCCTTAATCAGTCGAAAAGCAACATCTTTTGCCGTCAAGTACAATTCTTATTTTTTTCTGTCTTTTTGTATCTTGAAAAGTACGCAACAAATGAACCGGTGAATATTAGCGTAAACAAATACTCGCCCTAACACCTTTCTTAAAAAAGATTAACCATGCTAATATCAGATTTCAAACTAACATACTTCAAAGACGTGATTGATTCAAGCTTACCTTTGAGTTTGAAGAATTGAAAGCGTTTCTGACTGCACTGTAGATCTTCTGAGCTTCTGAGCATCGAATAACAAAACATTCAGCGTCTACATCCGGCAAACATACTACAACTCCTAAGGTCGTGTGGTCCTGCTCAAACAAATCAATGCAGCCAATGTTTTCCACATCAAAACTTGCGATCACCTCATAAGGCGCGCAGTTTGTACTAATTCGCATCATATCAGATGTAACTTCTACGTTTACTGAAGAGCAATCCTCTACTTTTGTCTTTGACACAATATCTTGAATTGTCATTTGCAGAGTTTTTGCGTTCGACCTCTGAACAGTTACTCGCTTGACAAAATGCGCAACGTAAAATCCGAGCGCGCCTCCACTCAGCTTTCCCAGACTCCGACTCTTCGGTCGTGGATCGCTTGAATTCAGGTTCAATTTTTCTCTCGGAGGTAATTTTGGGCTTGACTGTACCGGGAGTGATCGAGCTCTCGAGTGATCGGTGCTCACTGTCTCGTGCGAGGTACTAACAAGGCTGGTTACAGTTTTTTCAAGTACTGCTCTAGATCGGTGCGCTTCATGGAAATGCAAATCACTGTACACAATATCAACTGGCTTGCTCCCATTTCGAGTTCTTCCAGCCTCATTCACACTTAAATCCTTAATGTTTTCATAGGGCGACTCCTCAGTATCTCTGTTTGCATCCTCTGAGCTACTCAAGCTCTGCCGTTCATTAAAACTAACACTGCTGCATGCAGAGCTTCGCCGAGAACTGTTGTTGTCCTCCATAAATTGGAATTCCATATTTGAGTAAAGCGGACCTGGCGACTCCTTTGCGCGCGGTGAATGATTTGGCGAATGTCTCGGAGAAACAGTTTTTGGCAATCGTTGGCTTCCTTCGTTGGGTTTTCGAGCACATTCAGGAGTTGTGGATGGAGTTGTCTTTGCGTTGCGTACTTCGAGAAAGCGATCTTGGGACAACTCAGTGAGGTGCTTGTGCAAATTTCGCAAGTTTTCTGGTAAACCCGAGAGGCTTCCTGAAAAGTCCTGTCTTAGAATGGGGTTTTCCGATTCCCTTGTAGGCCTGGAAGGGATAAAATCTGACACCCTTTTAGTCAGAATTATTTCAGCGTATTGCGTCGAATTCAAATCATCAGTTTTATCCCGAACTGCCGCTTTTGGCGACGATGGAACAGAATTGGATTCGCTCGAAGTCGAAGTGTCCTTGAGCTGTTCTGTCTTCCTTTCAAGACTTTCTTTGTTTCCATCCGCACTACTCAAGCTGAAAGAACGAATCACCGAACAGGGCTTAATATTTTGTGGCGCACACTGATCTCCTGGTATAATCTCGTAGATGTTTTCGCAATCCTCCATAACTTCTTCATGATCCCTTGTGTCGCTACTTGGCATCCCTACTGATTTTGCCTCTTTCCCTTGCGGGACAGAAGTATTGTTTATGTCGATGTGAATATTGCTGTTTATATCAGTCTTAGGCGGGCATGGGTGCTTTGTAATAACCTCCTCGTATAACGATTCTTGCGTGGAGTTTTGCGCCATGAAATTTCCTCCAACCATTGTCTCGGACCCTATCGTCAAATGGTACAAAACATACAAAACGTAACTGATCCTGTTGATTTCTGGGTCCACCCACCCGGTGCCAAGTGACGCAAAGTGACGCAACACTCGGGGAAAGTGGGTGACACTTGTAGAAGGGTAATAGCTAAAAGACAAAAAAACCTCTTTGTTTTTGCGTGGACGGACTCTTCACATCCGTCACGTACGGATGTTCTTAAACCCGCTGAAACTCTACAACCAATTTAAATTCACGTTGAAACTGCCAAACATTCGTACTTGATATCTTTATGGAAACATTTTTCAAAGAGTGTACGTCTCCAATGTGTTTGCCGAAGGCATGCAAAAGATATTTTAGTTAACTAGAAAAAACTGCAATTCCTCGACTCTAATGACTTCAATAGACTCGCCTTGCAAGTTATACCTTTATGGTTATGCGTAGGCGTTGAGGAACAAGTTCCAACGCGACTCGAACGAATCATGTAATCCAACGGAAGTATGTACCAAAATATGCCATGCTAGCATGTTCAGCGTACACGCCACGTGATACTTTTTCGTTACAAAGTGAACGTGAACTTACTTTTATCTCAGGGTATCGTGCCGGGCATGAAACTGCAAGTTGCCTGCTTCAAACGGAGCTACCGTAATCGAACTTCAAGATGTTTCCGTTGTAAAGCATGAGTGAGATTATTTATATTTAGAACAGATTCAATTGTTTGAGCCATCACTACTCACTAATGCTAGATTCATTGAAGTTTGGAAAGCACCCTTCGGATGCAACAATATAGCATTTTATATAAGAATGCACAGAGCAGTGATCATAAAGATCAAAATAATATTGCTATAAATCCATAAAAAAAGCCTAAAATAACAAATCAACTTCAGAGATTTGGAGAAAATATTTCTTTTGGAGGCTAATCTATGGTGATAGATGTCGATGAGGGTTTGTTGGCATAAGTTATGATTTAGATCTTGGATGAGGACGTCTGAGAAACACGAATCCATACTTCACATTTCGATGTCCCCGATTGCAGCTTGTTACAATCAGAAACACCACTCCAGACAAATCACACATCTAACCTCAAATTTTCCTTTTTCTCTATGAGTCATCGTTCTTTTAAGAAACTGTAACTAGACGCCATTCTTTTACTTGTTCGTTAGGATAAGATGTTCAAATGTCCTTTCCTAACGAGCCTACTAGAGAAGGCCGGAAGATGAGGAACTTGATCTCACAAAAGTCCTTGTTACATAGCAAAGTCATTGTTTTAGTGGATTGTTCTTGACCCTTGTTTTGTTACTTTTCTATAGAGCTCGTTTATTTAACCTTGACTGTGAACGTGTGCGACAATGTCTAACACAGAAATCATTGTTTAAGTTCGAGCGTTTTATTTGTACGTTAAGGTGTTTCGACACGAAGTAGACTATTTTGTTTCTGGGGAGAGTAGAGGTTGTGTTGATTAGTGAGAAAGTTATAACATTTCATACTATCCTAGGCGAGTTTCTTGTACATGCGGGGACTGCAAAGGTCACGAAATTAAGTCCTGCCTCAATTCACGCTCGCACACAAGCTGAAAGCGCGTAACAAACGTTCTTACTATTTAGGAATAATTACTCATAAGCTAGTTAAAAATTGATCTAACTTCACAACAAAATTATTTGTTTACCAATGTGGATACAACTTTTGAATTCCGCGGCATTTTTTATTTATTTTTGAGACTGCTCAGTTTAACGCCGGAAAAAATTACCCAGCAAATTCGTTGTATCTTTGCTTGCGAAGAAACGTAGAACATTTTGAAGAAACAGGAAATGATACAAATTTAGAACGTTGTCATAATCGAATCACACTTGTTGAATCGTCTTATTAAATGGCTTCAAATTCAGCTCTGACGTTAATGAAAATGTTGCCAGCTGTTCTTCACTATTTCTAGATATTCGAAAACACTGGTTATTTTCATTTTGTTTAATTGTAACCGTTTTTCGTATACCAAAATGAAATAAAAGACTTCCTACGCCTGAAAAAAGCTCGGAACTTCGGCTAAAAATAATTCTGAGGTGGTATCGTCAAAACAGCAACAACGACACAATATGTGCACGTCATTTTCTTACTTGATAAAATATTATTGCTTCGTGATTCGACGGTGGCACCGTGATCTGTAAATACAAAGTGTCAACAGTATCCCATAGAGTTTGCTAAAATAAACTTAGTCATGCACATATTTTGAGGCTTACGTTTTAATCCCCATCCTCGTGAGCATACGCGTGAATAATAATCTGGCCATAGGTAAAATCCAAGTACTTCGGTTATTAGGGGCCAAACATAAGTTATGTAACAACCCATATCTAAACAAACCTAGGGACGAGAAGCTCGGTTCCCACGAAGGCTAACACGCTATCGACAGTACTGATCCTAGCAGAGGGGGGGCATTGGGGCCTATTAGGAACCGCAAAACCGTAGAAAAAATCATCCAAAACCGGAAAACCGAAAAAAATTCCATCAAAACCGAAAACCGCATGCAAAACTGTCACAATTGATACATTTTCACATCCTAGTTATTAAAACCCTGATCGATCCGATACAGTGGTGACAGGTGGAGCATACAGGGTAGACTACACTAATTTCATTACAGGATTTATGAATACCATGAACTTGACATTCGTATCTTCTAGTATCTGCTTAAATTAACAGCTGCGCTCTCGAGGACCTCGAGCGTGGTCTCCGCGGACTCAGCAGCCGGCAATGGAGCCTAATTAAATTCAGGAAATTCGCACAAACGTCTTCGATAGGATTGCAATTTTTATAGTCGCAAAAAGCTAAAGCTCTAGTAAGTTTCATCAAAAATCCCGAATCTAACATTTCCATTTGCGAACTAAGACCTGAAAAATTGGAGATTCTATTGGAATGTTGAATCAATCAGTCATGTGTGGCCTGTAACTTGGTCACCAACTTCGAGGTGGAGTTGATAAAGAAACTCTGGCAATGATCCGTGCTTAGCCGTACCTTAAGTGTAGAAACCGCAACGGACACACAAGGAGTGTAAAATGTTCACATTTCGGAATATTTAGCGTTGTAAATCGACCATATTTCGTTTCCCAAACCATTCCTTATAACGTATTAACTCCACGATTCCTTGCTTAACCTAATACCGCGTAACACAACGCGTGACGCTTTCATGAATAAATACATACATGTCCGAGAATTAATCTTTCGTCTTTCTCGAGATGTGAGCTTGAGACACGTGCGCTCAAATTCCCTAATTGCAAGCGCAACATCAACCCTAAGAAACCTCACTCCAGCACCCCGGGGTTGCAAGATTGCATGTAAACGCGTTTTATTTTTCTACCACGGCTAGGCGGGTTACCTCACCTCCATGTAAACAGGCCCTCAATGTCCAAACTTTCGGGGTTTGTTTACATCAAAAGTCACGTGACACTACGCGTGACATCTGAAGCCCAAAAGGTGAATTGGAACGACCGAAAACCGCATCGGATATCAAATCCGAAAACCCGTTAGTGTTTTTCGCGAAAACTGAAAACCAAATGCTAAAAAACGGAAAATCCGCAAACCGCAAGGACACCAAAACCGAAAAATCGAAGTTTTTGAACGAAAAACCGATAAAAAAAATTGCCAAAACCGCAAACCCGAAAATCCTAAAGCCCCCTTAAGCAGTATGCAGGATGCGTATCATATGGACTTCGAAATAGACCTCGCTCACCGTGGAGTTTCTGTGGCATCGGAGCGCAGAACCCGAAGGTCTGAGGTTCGATTTCTCATGAGGACTCAAAATTTTTTCTTTGTCCCACGCTTGTGACAAGAAGAAAAACATATTTCTCTCTACTACCTCTTATTGTTCTAATTGCAAGAGAAGAATAAGAGCTTTCTTTTTGGAGTACAACTTACATAACTGGAGGATAAACTCTGAAATTTTTTAATAGATTGTAGCTCACTTTGAGCATGACAGCCCTTAATATTTTTGTGTACCGGTATAATCGACTGAAAAACATCACCTTTTGCTTTCACCAAGTTAAAATGCTGTACTATTTCAACTCATTTCCAAATATCTTAGAAAATTCTACCTCTCGCTACATTTGTCGAAGGCTTACGGCTGCCGGTTATCCCCCTTATTCACAGCGCACTTATTCCGTACTCCCTGACAACCATTTATTAATGTATTTATCCACTCACCTCTCACGGGAGGGCTTCAAAGCTGAAGAAAAAGAATGTCAACACAAGGTGACCGCATCGGCCAGCAAATGCAACGTAACATATGTTGTTTCTAGAACTCTTAACAACCTATAGCACCTGACTTCATACTTGAAACTTCCATCTGACTAGATGTTTACATAATAATAACGGGGAGTCATATTTAGTTTATGATCAAGTCGTCATTTATTTGCGCTTTCTGTACGCGGTTCCATTAAGGTCACAGTCTTTAAAAAGATCACTGTTGCTGTGTTTTTGGCAACTTAAAGCTCAAACGGCCACTCGATCTGTTACGGGCGGATACAGTTATCCTGTAACTACCAATCAAACCCTGTGTCAAGTCTGTTGCGCTGTTTCAAGTCGCTTTTGCGGCACGAAAATCACCCTGAAACATAAGTAAGGTGTGAACAATGAAAAGAAACCTCAAAAGTAATATTTTGCTTGGAATGAAAAACAAAAGACTAAAAAGTTATCCGAAAAATTGAGAATAAAGATTTTCGAGGATGGAAAATAGGAAAAGTGTGGTCAAAATGGTCGCCAACCATTCGGAAAATGGCATCGAGGATTCACAAGACATGTATATCTCGAACCCTAAATAAAAATAAACAGACAGGGCTTTTCAAAGTGGTGAAGGCTGTAAGTTTGTCTTATGGCATTTATTTGAAAAAGCCGAGTTAAGAAAAAAATCGAAACACATTTTTGCATCAAGTTAATATTCAATTGTCTATAACCAAAAGAGTGAAAACAACAACAACCTTGGCATCATTGGTTTTAATTCCCATTTATATATGTACAGTTTTGATACATTTATCTAGCTGTAATTTGGCTGTTTTTTACTAACTCAGCCTTCCCTTTTCTTTTAGCGCCTATTTTCTACAAGATATAATTTCAAAATATACTGAGCCCTTGTTCAGAACTGTAGGAAACTAAACCAAGCTAAATCAGAGATCTCACAAATCTGAGTTTTGAATACATACAGCTTAGAAAAACAGACAATGCAAACACATGCAAAGTTCAGCAAATTTGCCCACGAAGCCACTTTGGTTAGGAGCTACAACAGGTGCTTATGCCCCAAGTACTTCACGTGTATCTAATCTTTTAGCTTGTTAGCAAAAGTTGGAGGTTTTTTTTGTAAGAATTCTCACTATAATTTAGTAAATTTTGATACCTACAACAACACAACCTGGCCCTGTAACCCCAACCCTAAGAGTGAATCAGCACATTCCAACTGTATGACATTAGTTCAAATACTGCCCTCTGCCCTCAAGCACCAGTGTACAGAGAGAAAAAGTAAATATAGAGGAGCAGAATGGGATACATTAGTAACAGTCTTTTGTTCTTTAGTTCATCCTGGATGAGAAGAGATCCTGCACTGTACGATGCCCAGACCACCCCAAACAACTGAAAGGGAAAGACATGAAATTTTTTCATGATCCAGAAGGCACCTTACACAACACACATTGATGAGGAGTTCCTGCAGATATATCAAGGCCTATAAAAATGTACCACTCAATGCCTTTTTTCAGATTCTAAGAAATAGCATAGCCTTTTTAAAAGATTGTCTTCCAATACACTATTTGCAGTATTTTGAAATATGTTTCACCTTTACAACTATCATCTGGAAAATCACCTCAGGAGATCTGCTGGCAAAAGAACTGCAAACCAGAGTAGCATCAAACTATGTATGATTGTCCACCTGGTTGCTGTGTGAACTTTAATATATTATATTTAAATACTAGGCCTGAAAAAAGCAGCGAGTACTTTTTCAAATTTCTTGCAGATCTTGGTGATCGATTCCAACTTTTCCTTCTGTTTAATGGTAACAATTCCTACATACATATTTTAACTGGACTAGAAGTATAAATACCTTGATAGCAGCGCTAATGTTGGGAAAGTAATGAACCAATGGCAAGGCTGTTGCAGTCAACACCAGCGGGATAAGTGAGTAACCAATCACACCAAGACACTGAGAGTAGTTCACCTTCAAAGAAATGAAATTTGCCTGCTTTCATTTCTTGCACAATTTTGTTTCCACAGAATATGCTTAAAATAAGATCCTCCTCTTCTGCCAGACACCTCTAATTTTACATCCTAATCACTGCATGTGTATGAGAGTGTGAAAGTGTGTGAGTTGCATATGGCATCCAAGTTTTGCTTGAGTACCATGCTTTAAAGATAGAGAAACTGGAGTGAGCTCTAGTTAATTATGGCATTTGGATTGGGAATAGACTTTGCCTTGTATGTGTTTATTAATGAGAAGTTTCCACAAACAGTAACCATTAATAAAGTGTGTGGCATTGAAAGTAAAAAAATTTGCTCTCACTGGCAGGCAAAGGGCACTACTACATGATCAATCAACAGTGGTCTTTTGCAGTAATTACAGATTTGTGCATGTTACACTTCTTACCTCTCCACCAAGTACTCTGGCTAACAAGAAGATAATGAGAGAGCCCAGCAGCCATATTGTTATAATCCAAGAGACAACCTGGCACAAACAACAGCCAATTGTAAGATTAATGAAGCATTACAAGGAAGAGAGGTAACCTGACTCAGTACTGTAGTAACTAGTTTTAACAAGATCAAGTTTCTCTTTATCTGACACCTTTACAAACTACACTGCATTCAATTAGCAAACAGCTCTTACCATGGACAGATTTTCCTTTAGCCCTTTACACTCTAATGTTATTATACATATTCTCCTTACTGTTCTCTATACATTTCCTAATGAGCTGACAAGGAGAATTTGTTTAACAATCAAGAGCTTCTTTAGTTGGTGATCATTTCCTTAATTCTTGTGACCTTTCATGTTTAATTCAAGGATGATACTATTGGAAAAAAAAGATGCTTATCACTCTAAGTGATAAGGGAGTAGACTCATGGGAACTTCAAATGCATTTGATTTTCCTGTTTCATATATCATAATTAACTAAGGGATTGAACAAACTGCAGACACCATCATGTGACTCGAGAACTGACCTTAAACTGTCCAAATAATGCCAGCATTGCATACAAAAGAACCACCAAAAGAGGACCCCAGAAATCAGGACTGTCCCTCAATACATCTCTTTTAAACCCCAAGGATGGAAGAGGAAACACCACGCAGCGAACCTTGTAGTAGATATCTTGCAGATCAATGTCCAGTTCTTCACTACAAAAGTAATGAAAAATAATGATCTTTTTTTGAAATAAGTCTTGAATCTCTTTATGAGACAAAGAAAAATAATGAAATTCAAGAAGGTTTATATTTCTAATAACATTTCATATCAGTTGATACTGACTGTAATCAGAAAAAGATTAGTGTAAAAGATAGAAATCTGTCACTCATAAAATTCCAACCTAACTTCTGCCTGCTCACACGCAAAGAAAAAATGAAAAATCAGATCTTACAAGGAGGGGTTACAATAACTCTCGTACTTCTCCTATGAAATTTTGCCCTATTATTCCCAAACAAACAATCCATAGATTCTAGTCACCATGAAATACCATCTTCACTTGTACACAAGGCTAACTCTCTGTTCACTCTCATAGTACACCAGGAAGATCAAAAGAAAAAATCAAACATCTTTCAATTTGTGGAAGAGTTACTCTTCAGCCGAATTGCGGTGATTTTGCCAATGAGTGATTTCGCCAATGTCACGTTCGCCAACGTCTTTGGTCGCTTCGCCAACGCGATGAGTTGCTTCGCCAACGTCCTACTGGTCACTTCGCCAACGCCAAATATCTAGTAATAACTTAGTAAAAAGGGTGCTTACTGATGCTTCGGATGAAATGCTGATACTTGGGTCAGAACATTTTTAAGTTAATGCTAGTTTCGCTTGGCTGACTTCTAAACAATTTGCATATTTTTGACAGATCCAGAAAAAGCCGGCGTGTGAGCACTAACATTGCGGTAATTTAAAATATAACAAGTATAATAAATAGATATGAATAGTAAATAATAAATCGCGGTAAATAAAATATAACAAGTATAATATCAACAACATTTTAATTACAACGAACTTTTATAAATATTTACGAGTGCAAAATATATTAGTGGAAAACCTATTTACAAAACCTTCTGATTCACAAAATATTTTCAATGCAAAACTTATTTACAAAACCTTCTGATTCAAAAAAATGTTTTAGTCAAAACCTATTTACAAAACCTTCTGATTCACAAAATATTTTCAATGCAAAACTTATTTACAAAACCTTCTGATTCAAAAAAATGCTTTAGTCAAAACCTATTTACAAAACCTTCTGATTCTCAGCTTACTTCATGCTAGTTCAGTTCGTTCATGATCAGTTAGAGCGCACTGGTCCATTCAAACGCGAGCACGTCCTGAGTAGTTGAGCAGCAGTTTTCTTGTTGTTCCCATACTTCTCCCAACTTGCGAATAGTTTTGCCTGAATGTTTTTTGTTGTTTGTCGTTGAATTTGTTTCAGTTTGTTGTCAGAGACCAGCCTGATTGTAATAGCTGTGAGTTTTGCCTCCCGATCAAGTAACTCAATTAAAAGGTAAAAGGGCAAACTGCATTGTCCTCCAGCTCTGCGATTGAGGGCGTTATGCCAGCCTTCCAGGTTGTTATTTGTGCGGACGGGCTTCTTGTACACGCACCAGTTTCTTTATATAAATCTCTGTTCTAGAAGTCTCAAAGGTAATTATATAAATCTCTGTTATCGACAAATAAACCTTATAGAAGAACTTAAGGAAAAGGTTGCACACACACGACTTTATTGCTCTAAGTTAAATTCAGCAACATGTAGCGCCGGTGATGCGTGGCGTGCCGTGCATTTATGTGGGCCCACTGTGTTTTAAGTTGCGCATACAAGAGAAGGAAACTAAGTCCGAACAAAATAACGGAAGGAAACTAAGTTCGAACAGGGAAATCAAGTCAGCTCAGTAATGTAATAGTAAATTTTTATTTAGAGTAAACTAAAACATTGGCGAAGTGACCAGTAGGACGTTGGCGAAGCGACTTTTCGCTTTGGCGAAGCGACCTAAGACGTTGGCGAACGTGACGTTGGCGAAATCACTCGTTGGCGAAATCACCAGATACCCTTCAGCCACCCCAAAATCAGTGATGAAATTTCTTTTTCATATATAACCTCCGTAAGAATAAAATACGAGCAATATTCAAATATAAATTATGCGTATAAATTTCTATAATAGTAAATTTTACACGCATAAATAAAATTGCGTAAGGAACGAACTGAAAATCCACGAAGTCAAATATACGCCTTGCTTTCAATTAAAATTAAATTTGGGTTCTGTTCAAATTCGATTCTACATAACAAACACAAACGAAGCGACAAAGCCACGCATTATTGATATACTACAAATTCACTTACAGCAAGGGCTTGATGAAATCATCATCATCACCCGATTGATCCACTTCCAATAACCAATCGTAGTTTTTCTTATTGAAAATTTGCGAATAGAAAGGGAATCTGTACCGAGGGCCTCCATTCGATTCGTCAACTTTTCTACCACTTTCCATGAATTCTTCCTGTTGCTCAATCGATCCTGAGTACATGGAGGCATCTTGACTCATAGGAGGACCGAATGAAAACTCATTCATTTGGTTATCGGCCTCCATATTTTCCAAATCAGGTTGTGAAGAGGGCGAAAAAAGAGGAACTGATGTGGCCGCCATTTTGCTTCTGCGTTGATTGATAGAGTTTATCGTCACCAGTTCCCATAAAAGTTTGACAGCGAGAAGTCTGGATCTGTCGCGTGGCGCCAAATTTTGTAAAAGAGTTCGGTCTTCCGTAGAGAAGTTTCGTCTTTTCCTTACCAGGTGTAGCACTAAAACAAACGAAAACTTCATCGGAACTGCCAAAAATATGTTAGGAAGGTTAGTAGTTTGCTTGTTAATGTTGTTTCTTTGATTACAGAGAGGGGTTTGATCTTGTCTTGTTCGTTCTGTAATGGCGACGTCCATTACAAATTTGGTCCTGTTTAGACGTAGTTTTCTCGCTTTATGCTCATCGAAAGGTGAGCTCTGAAGTGTTATGTTCTGAAGATTCTGAACGGTTTAGTTAATTTTCCACAGGCCAGAATTTGAGTTTGCTCTGGGTATGCCGCCATTGGGGTAAGAATGTGAATAGTGGACGGGATTGTAAGAGTCTTAACACATCCCAAAGGAGGGCAGATCATTGTTGGTGCCAACGACCTGCAGAAATGGGAATCCAAGGCCTTCTTCCATTACTAAAGCCTATCCAAAAGCCCGTCTCCATCGCTGAGCATTTCGCAGGTCAAGTCATTGGGATAGATGCCTACTGCTGGCTGCACAAGGGGGCTTATGGCTGCGCTATGGAATTGGTTGAAGGAAAGAAAAGCTCCGTGTATGTATGCACTTTTAAATGATGAGCGGAGAATACCTGGAAGCTCGATGTTATCGCATTATGCATGAAAATATTTAAGTTTCTGCTCAGTCAGTCATATATTACTCAGGTAAATATATTTTGTTTCAGGTATGTTAATTACGTTTTGAAGCGTGTTGACATGCTGCTACATTTCAATGTCAAACCAATTCTGGTTTTTGATGGATCATACCTTCCCTCCAAAGCTGGACAGGAGGAACGACGAAGGAAGTAAGTGTCTATTTAAAAGAATTTTAAGACGGAAAAGTTTGCTTGGGAGGTCAGACAGGATTCAGAGGAGGTAGTTGTAAATATGAACTAATCTGCTTGAAATAGGGACTGTTAAAAGAGCTATTGAATGTATTTCCAATTCTTGTCAAATGTAGGACAAGACAAGAAAACAAGGCAAAAGGACTAGCTTTTCTACGTGCTGGAAACAGGCAGCAGGCTCTAGAGTGCTTTCAGAAGTGTGTGGATATTACTCCAGATATGGCCCTTGAAGTCATAAAGGTTTGTATTTGATGTGAAATGCTAGAGACTATTGTGATGATTTCCTGTTTTGTGAATTTTCCTTCTTCAAATAATACTGTTACTTCCAAATGTTGGATTTTCAAGTTGAAAAAATTATTGACAAGTTCTTTGTTGCTCATGGGTGGAGAATCAGTGTGTGTGACATGTGTGGGGACCTTCAATAACAAGCAAATAATATCTTTCCATATATTTTTTTTTCTATACATCTGTAATGTGGTTCTTATTTTTTGTGCAGCAAACATTTGTAATATATTAAAAATGCTTTATAATATATCCAAAGTCAGGATAAAAGTAATTTTATCCCCTATTTTCTGGTAGTCTGATTGTACAGGTGAGATCATAATTGTCCTTGTCAGAATGGAAAAATTAGCTGTTCCATCTGGACTGCCCAAGTTTCCTGCCCTGACCTCATAGTTCACCCAGATGCACTTTCTAATGCAGCAAATGAAACTTACTATACAGGAATGTCGTAAGAAGGGCGTGGACTGTATTGTGGCACCTTATGAGGCAGATGCTCAATTAGCATATCTGATGAAATCAGGTCTAGCTCAGGCTATTATATCTGAAGATTCTGATTTACTTGTCTATGGATGCCAGAAGGTAAGGGTGTTAGTTTAAATGAGTAATGACAGTAAATGCCATGGCTTAAGTTTGATATGTGTCAATGCGAGGGCCAACAGTTCAAGGCTTACTACTAAGCCTGTGAGCTCTACTTCTGCCATTTTCTTAGGTCCAGTCTCTGATCCCAAATTACTGATCATGAACTTCTTTAAGGTAGATGAACCCCTTTTTTGTTCATACATAAAAGACAGCCATTTTGAAATTTACAAAGTCTATGTGCCAGTCCTATCTTTGAGAAGTGCAGGCTGGTACCAAACCTAGTAAACCTGCTGTGTGAGATGAAAAACAAAAACAGAAGCAAAAACAAACAAACAAACTTCTTTGAACCACTTTACTTCATATTCCCGCTGACTTTCAGGTCATCTTTAAGATGGATGTTAATGGTCATGGCTTAGCAGTGGATCTGGCTGATCTTTCCAAACTAACAAAGCTCAAACTACATGAATTCACCCAAGAGAAGTTCAGACACATGTGCATTCTGTCAGGCTGTGATTATCTGCCGTCTGTCAAGGGCATTGGTCTACAGACAGCAATTAAACTGCTGCGCAAATCAGCCAATGTTGAAAAGGTTAGTTTTTATCACAAAGTTAATCAGTTTCTAAATATCTCCTTGATGAACCATATTTAATTGATTAAGTGCCCTGTACTCTTATGATTTTAAAGTAATGGACCTTAAAGCGAGTGCTTATTTAAAGTGTGGTGCTTATTCAAGGCTAGACACTTTCAGAAATTTTCACTATTTTCAGCATTGTGTTGCAACAAAAGGATAAATGACACATCACAAGAAGAAGATGTACCATTGAGAGTGAATTTAGAGCCAGTAAAAAAATGATAGTCAGTACTCCTTTTGTGAACTACAATTTTTTTTCTGTGGGGAGGGGGGTGGGCACTTATTTGAGGCAGGGTGTTTATTAACTTTTTCTACCTGCAAGATGGGTGCCTATTCCAGTTAAAGCTCTTAATAGAAGGAATATGGTAATTTCCTCTGAAGCTGATTTCTTCCTTAACAATAAATGAATAACTTTCTGTTAGCTGATCAGATCTCTCAGAACTGAAACAAAGATGCATGTCCCTGATGATTATGAGAAGAGCTTCAAGCAGGCAGAAGAGACATTTTTGTACCAGCTTGTTTTTGATCCTGTTTCTCTGAATCTGGTTCCTTTGAGTGACCTGCCAGACGGATTGAAACCTGGTGACCTGGGCTTTGCTGGTCCGTATCCTTGACAAACTGCTGAAATATATGCAATGCTGACCAAGTTTAAGGTCAAGTTAGCATGAAACTAGCCATTTTTCCAGTTGTATTTTTCTTCTCTTTTCTTTTCTATTTATTTTTCTTGTCCTTTTTTGCCCAAGACTAAGTTGAGATCAATCAACTTTTTTTCTGTAAAAAGAACAAGGCCACAACTCAGCCCACTTGGCAAAACAGACTCCATCAATGGAGCATGAAAATAAAGGAAATGATCACCAGCAAAAAAGGCTCTTAATTGCTAAACAAATTCTACTTGTCAGCACCTAAGGAAATATATGAAGAACAACAGTATTGAGAATATGCACTACTTTTCCTGTGGACTTCATCATTTCCCTTGTGTTCTCTTGACCAATTGTCAGATTAATGACAAGAGAAAAAGCCTTGGGTATTGCACTTGGTAATATTAACCCCATCACAGGTGAAATGATAGCAGATTTTGACCCCAAAAAGATCAAGGTACGTTACAGAACACGTTTTTGGGGTATTTTACTTAATGTCTTGTACTTTTGACCTACTATGAAAAGGTTCTGTAGTCATGCAGATATTTGATACAAAGTTCAAAAGGTTAAGATACTGTTTTGATGATCATGATGGCTGTGAGGACGAAAAATAATTTAAAAGAACTTTAAGAATTTTCGCGTCAAGCATATGTGATTACTTGTAACAACTCGGTGTATATAGTATTTTTTAATACCAAAAGTTTCTGTTTAATTACTTGAGTGTTGTTAAGGGTAATGCCAGTGAAAAGAAACGGCACTCTTGTAATAACCAGTTAGTCACAAACACTGAGGTAAATAGCTACTCGGAAAAGGAGACCATCTGAATGCTTCTACTTAACTTCCCGGGTGGATACTTTTTCAACTGGTGTTTATTATCGTCTTGAAACAATGCGAAACATAAGCTGTTTCACCTTTAACTTTCTTAGAACTTTTTCCTTTTTCTTTTGCTTTGAAGATTGAATAACGTACTTTTGATTCCGTCAAAATAAACTTAGTAGCCAATTTTTTTAACAACAGCTTAGTTCCTTTAAGGTAACATTAGCATAGCAAGAAGCTGTTTTGTAGCTCGAAACTGAATAATCCTCGGACAACCCACCGCTAGCTAATAAGCGTATGCCAAAACCGCCATTGACCGATGTGGTTTGCTATCATTAGGCTACATGCTGGTACCATTGTAAGTGCTATTTCTGTTAACATCCTCAGTTGTTTTTCCCCTAGATTATTGACCTGGGATCTGGCAACAAATTGGACGAAGACTCTCACTCAAGTGCTCTCACCCCAGTCTCTATGTCCTCCTTTGGCCATGCCGTCATAAGTAAGAGAGGGAAGACTGAATACGATGTGCAAAAAAACCTTTCTGGGTTGATGCTCAATTCAACGTCATCGGCGAAAACCAAGAAACCTTTCGTGCCGCCAGGACTTAAAAGGAAGATTGAAGAAGAAAGTGTCGATGACCACTCACTTCTCAATATGTACACTGTTTTGAAACCCAAGAATGTCATTCCTCGTGCTCAAGGAAATTTCCAACGCACGAAACCTGGTGCTTTGTCATGGAACGGGACGAAAAAGTCCAAGTTCAAAAACCCTTTTAAAATCAGCGATCAGCGGGTTGAGGCGCAAGATGAAGTTAAAATTAGCAGGTGTGCATATACACTGATGAACTCTGTAGAATGATCATGTCCACCGCTCTGTCACTGTTAGCTCGTAGTCTATGTCACTGTTGCAATACCTATTTACTCCCTCTGAATAATTAAGATTTACTGACGTATACGTCTTTTTCTTGAGGTACTTCAATATCACTGGAAATCAGCTGGAATCACTGAAGTATTCATCAAACGCAACAGAGGACAGTCCAGCTGGTGGAACAAATTTGGATTCCGGAAACACTGATGAGTTATCCTTGACAGGTGAATCACGGCCTGGAGGTGGTCTTACTGCCTTGATACAGAACGTGGATGAACACTTATTTCCGTGTGAAGGAGAAAATTCTGTGGTGACTAATAAAATGGAACAGAACAAGGAGAATTATTCAAAAAGGGACGACGATTCTTCTAAACTGTGCAAAATTGATTACAAAACTGAAAGCAAGGAGGAAACTACTCTTCACAACAGCGACTATTCGCAAACCCGTTCTCCTAAAAAGCTGTTATGCCAGGGCGTGTTTACGAACCAGTCATTAAATATAAGCTACGACCACAAAGATGAATCCGTAGAAACAAAATTAAGTGAACGTTTTAGCTACAAACGATTTCAAAGGCCAACAAAACTTATTGATAACACATCAGAACCCTTATCGAGGGAGGAAACTGTGTCTAATGACAGTAGCTTTTCACGATCAGTTGAGGTGATACGTATCGACAGTGGGTACATGTCAGATACAGAGATGAGTACAGATGGTGACACACCCACCTCTACTCAGTCAGTTATCAGGGGCCAAACTACACCCTCCACGAGCAGAAATTTTTCGCTTTTACAAGGCAGTGCTGTTGGATCCAAGGTAAGATTAGAGAGTGTACTGCACCAATCCTGTCAATGTCACACTAGCATACATGTTTCAGAAGTTTACTATTTTGATCATTTGCGACGACCTGATTTTTTTTACTCATAGTAATGAGAATCCGATGTTCGATCAACCCCCTTGCTTGTTTTGTTTTGTTTTTTTTATTAATGGCGCGATTGAGTTTTTGAGTTAAATTTTTCTTATGATTGGCTGAGAGGGAGGCGCGATTTTTTTTACCAGGCATAGAGCAGGGCGTGAAATTAATTTTTTTTCTGATAGCCACCTGGCTCCTAAATTCTTCAAAGTGGTAGCCAATTCAAAAAAAGTTGGTCGCCATTTTCAAAGACAAACAAAATCTTTCTTTACGCTGTCAGCGTTCTAGATAGACCCTCCAAATTAAGTTAGGGAAAAGATCTTTAACGTGCTACAAAGTGGACACTAGGATGGATGATATACAAAGTTCAGGCTCATCTAAATCCAAGATGGCGTCTAGTTATCGCTCGAGATACATGTTCTACGTTTTGGAAACAAACTTAACGAGGAAGTTTGCCGCGGATTTATCTTTGCAAATCTTTTTAATTCACTATATCTCTTGGTAAGGTTATGATGAAACGTTCTAGTCGCCAATTTGGCGACTAACTTTCAGGATTTGGTCGCCAAAGTGAAAAATTTAGGCGCATTGGCGCCTGTATTAGGCGCAATTTCACGCCCTGCAGAGTGAGTAGAGTAAGGTCAAATTTTTTTGTGCTTGGCTAAGCAGGAGGCACGGAATTTTTTGACCAATCACAGCGCGACGAAGAAAGATCAGTACAATCACGGATCTTTTTTTCCAAAACAGAAATTGCTCAAATGTAAAATATATTTTTCTCTCTATTTTTGCAACAGACAACGAAGAAGCAGATTCGGCTGAATTCTAAAGCAGGTAATACCATTTTAGTTCCAGTTCAATGTACTTCGATTATCAGTTGGGTGAGGCGTGGAAAAAGCTGGTGACTGTGTTTTGAGCATAGTATAACGTTGTTGTCATGGGCAACCTTCCTCTTTTCTGATGGTAAACGTCAGGAGCCGTGCGTCACCATCCGTCAAACGCGGAAGCCCGCCAAAAGAGGTCAAACGACACGTTTCCACCGGAAACGGAGTCACGTGTTCGTGTCAAAAACACGATTTTAACGTCAAAATGAGGTCGCCAAGTTACCGTAGCGTCTTACTTGACTGAAAATCGTTGTATATCGCGTTATATCACCCGCTCGTTAGAAAAATGTAACGCTTTTTAGACACTTGTAGACGATTTTTGGACTTTGTGGATACGACAAATAATTATTGATTACTCGTTGAACTCCGAAACTGAGGCCCGCATTCGATTCCAGGCTAGGTGTCTATCCTGGTCTCTTTGGCAACACAATTTACCATCACAGTCTCTCAAGACACAGGAATATAAATTGATCAGAAAACTGTCAGGGAGACACGACAAAGTGCCAGGGGTTTACTTACTGTGAATCCAACATCCCTTGTGGGGGACATCGTTGTGTTACGTCTGATGCTACATAAGCCGGGATAAGTTTTATTGACCATTGGCTACTTTGGTGGCATATGTGTTACCTTTGGGAGTTTTCTTGATGGTGATCTCACGATGTGGTGTCCCCGACAGCATACAAACATTTTTACAAAGCATTTTACATGTATTTCTTTGTTTGATTCCATTAGCCTACCTAATAATCTCTTTACAGCGAACGATTACATGATACAGAGACACTTTACCGATAAGCAAATCATATACTGCGACGTCCAAAGCAAACTATATTTCAATTAAGTTGCTTTGTTTTGAATGTCGAAAAGGAAAGTTGGCTCTCTAGTCACTGTCTTTTTTCTTTCTTTTTTCTAAAGATCACCAGCTGTAAAGGGCTCAGTGTATTGAAGAATAGCGGTTCTTTTTCATATTCCTTCTTTTAGGTCTTAGAAGTACTGGACTCGGCAGATGTCGCTCAATAGGAATTTCAAAAAAGAAAACGAAACTCAAAGATTCGCCCAACTCTGCTGGATCGTCGTCTTTGTTGAGTTATTTTGAGTTCGACAGGCGGAAGAAACCAAGGTAGTGTTCGGTAATTTTATCGTGGATACCTATTGAAGGGCGGTCTTTATTTAAAATTCATCAGGCTTTTAGAAAATATCAACAAGAAATGTTTACAGTAGAACTGACGTGATAAAAGTTTCATTAACAATTTTCTTTCCTTGGGAAAAAATATACTGTTGCTGTAGGTTGACTTTTCTCGAAAGTTCCCACTCCGAGTCCATTTTGTTCCCAGAATACGCGCCCCATTTCCAGGTGCGACTCTCCATATTATTCGAGCTTTCGGATGCGGCAATTTAACCCTTTGACCCCTAAGGGTGCTTGGCATCCTATTCTCTTTACGGTATCACTGTTGAATCAAACATTAAGGTCATGAAAATAAGGGAAATGATCACCCATTATATAGAGAAGCTCTTAATTGTGAAACAAATTCTCCATGTCAGTACCATATAGAGAACAGCATTGAGAATATGCATACTGATCTATGAGTGTAAAGGGTTGGTACGATAATGACGTAGAAATCTGTCAAAAAGAAATCTCCGACTTTATCTTGTTATTCGTGTGCTTAATCTTCATTATTCTTCGTGGGAATTCGGCAAAGAATCTCTTCATACCATTTTCCCTGTTTAAATCAACTCCTTTTTCTTTCTCCAGACTCGGTGATGACAGCTGACATGCGTGTTTCTCGAGCATGATGTAGTTATAACCAAATTCATGCATGGTTTTCCTGGCAGAGGGCTTCATAGCAATCAAAGATGATGTGGAATGCTGTTGTAGAACCTTATGAAGAGAAATGTGGGAAACTCGTGATTAATGTGTGTTTCTAAACCACAGACACTGACTTCGTCGCAATATTAAATGTAAACAGTCTCGCTCATTCCGTATTTGTTCAAATTACTTCAGTATATTTTCAAAGTAATTACAAATCGCTTCCATATCCAAGACCCGACAAATTCATTCCTTGAAATGCTTTCATGATACATTTTAAGGATAATTCACCAAAGAAAACTGAAGCTTTCAAAATTCATAGTTTAAGTTAAAAAAAAAAGTTTTTAAAGTTTTTAGCCCTTAAACCCTAAGAGTCTCCATCATCCAATTTATCCTCACAGTAATACTGCTGAACCTTTCATGTCATGGGAGCAAAGGGAAGTGATCGCTAATCTAAGAAGCTTTGATTGCTAAACGAATTCTCCTTGTCAGTTCCAAAGGAAATGCACAGAGAAGAGTATAAAGAATATTGACATTGGTGTTGGGGTGTAAAGGGTTAATTAGCCACTAAAGGAATCAATCGTAGAATGAAAAAGGAAGTTAAGGACATATTTGGGAGCCACAGCGGTTGTGTATTGGTTGTGGAAATTTTTAATCCAGAGTCATTGTTAAACATCCGCAAGCGAACAAGCTTGTGAAGCAGAAACTGAACAGTTTATAGTTAAAGTTGGCCGCTCACGTGATTACGTTATTAATTTTTTTGATGCTAAATTTACCTTGGAATGTTAATAAATGTAGGATTTTGCTTGTTACGTAAGTGTCCATGACTGTTCTTTCTGGAAGGAGAATTTTCCGCAGCATATTTCTACCGCATTCACTTTAGACCGGTTATTGACCAAAAACAACCACGTACCTTGTTTACTCTGAAAGTCTTAAACCAGTGTTAGCAATTTAGAGAACATTTTATTGGGGTACTGGATGGGCTTCCTGGAATAACCTTAAGAGCTAACAAAGTTGGGCTGCCCATGTGCGTAGAAGCTCTATCACATGTTCAGGTCGAATAGACTGAACGGTTACATGTAGAACAAGATTTACAAATTTAAAACTTACTTCAGTCCCCTACAATGATGTAATTGATAATTGCGAACCGAATGAGGCTCTTCCTTTTATTCAAGAAGTTCGATCAACATTTTAACGATTTTAACAACTAAAAGGCTTTCATCGGGTGAATGACATTTCGTTTGTCTCAACGTGGTCTGTGGTTATTCATCGTTTCGACTGAATGAGTCGAATGGTCATAAAAAGCTGAATTGTTTTTTTCGTTTTGTCTTTCATCGATGTGGTCCCGCGGCGGTCCGCTGTCGCACGGCTCTCCTGTTGTTGAGTTTCTTGATCGTGGGCATCCACGTTTCGACTGCCTACTGATGTTGTTAGGTGAAGTCTTCTTCAGTCGAATGGTCAGTAATAAGGGTCATCTTATTCCAAGCATGATTCCGGTGTTGTGGGCATGTTCTGAAACGAGGTCTCGGTCCGGGCGAGTCGAATTCTCGATCTTGTCCTAATTCTTCTTGCATAGGTCTTCCAGTCTCTCCGATGTACACCTTGCCGCATTCATAGGGAATCCTGTTAACTACACCATCTTTTTTATCCGGGTCGACAGCGTCTTTTGGTTGTACTAACTCAAATCTCAGCGTAGTCTTCGACTTGAAAACAGCGCGTACGCCTTGTTGTTGTAGGCAACGGCGAAGCTGTTCGGATATTATGGAGACAATTTTATAATTTCCTTTGTGGGATTTCATAGTGACGGCATTGTGATGTACTGAATATTTCAGAATTTTGTACTTTCTTGTGGAATTTGATTTCCTTTTGTTTTGCAAGACACCAGAAGAACGTAACTGAAGTGGCTAAGGCTGGTATATTCCAACTAACTAGGTCCTCAATACTCTCTTCTCAATGGCAGTTTAAGGTGATAACACAGGAGCAGGATACAATCACTAGGGTTATATTTACCCCACCCCACTAGCTTACCTGCTCTTAGTTCAGTTTTGGCAAACTTAACCCTTTCACACTTGAGATCGGAATATCAATTCTCTACACTTTCTACCATATATTCCTTGCTATTTCAGCCAATTTCCAATTTACGTTTATCACTACTTGCTTTTTTCTTTCTTCCCATCACCTTTCTCCTTGAAAAAAGATCAATGTTGTTAATTCTGTTGTGAGAGACGTGGTGACTTCGTGACTATTGGGCTGAACTCCAATTTAACATTGTGCGCGAACGCATTTGGTTGGTGGCTATTTTGTAATTAATTGTTGGTCATTAGTTTGTGGTGAACTTCTGACCAAAATTTTGTCGCGTTTGAATGAAATGAGTGGAGGTTGCCAAAAGATAGTACCAGTCTCTGAATCATTTTGAAGTAATTTAAAGTTTCTAAGAGTGATGGATTTATTTGGTTGTGGGGTGAAATGCGAGAGTGAATGGAATGCGGTCTGTATATTCCTTCTGTGCCGTTTGTAGTGCTGACTGTCTATCAATTTGTTGGACGCGGTGGTGGCTCGCTTGAACGACAGAAACAGGATAGCCACGTTTTCGAAAAATTGGTGATACTCCCCCACCGACGCAGCACCACAGTGTCTTTAGAAACTTACCGCCGTGATTTTTGCGAAAGCTGCTTTGCTGATGTGCGCGCTAATCACGCTCAGGCCAACCTGCGTGACGCGTACAGTTACGTGCAGCAAGAATACGCTATGCAATTGCCGGAGAATGCCTAGGAAAATTCGCTGTTTTCAACTGCGCTATTCCTGGTAATGTAAAATTACCCCACACAACGCTGTCAACGATCTTAGATGGGAGAGCACTCGATTTTAAATCGATAGACGCTCTTAATTGTTTTTGGACAAATTACTTGTTCATATTTTGATGGACAAGATAGTGTACGTGTTATGCCCAAAACACTGCACAGTCAGCTTAAACTGTTTTACAATCAAACTCACCATCAACATACAACCGATATTTTTCATTGTTAGTCCTGAGACCTAGTCTAATTCTTTCCGTTTACCGGGTAGGACGCTAATGGTCTCGCATAGATATTTGGCGCACCCTAAAAACAGAAGAAAATAAGGTTGCAACCTATTCAAATCCATTTTCAATCAGTTGCATCGCTGAATGAAAAAATGTATATTTATTGTTGTGTGTATGAGAGTGGTCACATAATAGACAAATATATATATACTCTGACCATAGAAAATCATAGAGAGGCACTTAGCTATCGTGTCGTATTTGATAACATCATCCCGCTTTAAATCTGCCAGATGCAGAAGAAAGAACGCCTGCTACATTATCACCGGTCTAACCACAGTTTTGTTAATGTAGGTGCTGAATAATTTAAGGGAGTTCGGCCGTCAAGTAATTGTGAACAGATGGGACGCTTTTTATTTCCCTTCTTGGCTGCACCACTTGTAAAAATTAGTAAAACGCTGCAATTTGTTACTTTTAGTTTCTCAACCGGGTGTCAAAAATAAAAATCAGATCAGCCAATCGGTGCTTACATTAACCTCAAGCGCGGGAAAACTGATACTGGTAATATGGTCGCAATTCATTTTTTTGAGTAAGGACATATGGGAAGTCTTTAAGATTAGTCACTTGGAATAATGAAATTGAAAAGTTTCCAATGAGTTCAATTGAAAATTTCCCAATGCGTTAAGCAACCATTGCTAGGACGACTGGCTGCACATGAGCGTTTCTTTCATCTCCATCCCCTCTCACGCTTTTCGTGAACCGCGCGTGTTGCTCTTCGCGGCGGAGTAAAAGACGTTCGGCGTTAACCGGCTGTAAATGAAAGTGTCTCCTTTCACCTCTATTCTCAACTATTCTTCTCGCAACCCAGCCTGCTGCTTCGCTGACTAACGGACGCTCGGTGCTAATTCGGTGCTCATTCGAACAGCGTACGAAACCGTGGACCCCTCAATAAAAATTAAAAAATTCCTACCAATATTTTTTCACATCGTTCAATGCCTGTAACACCGTCAAGTCTTGAGAATATTTTAAAAAGTTAGAACCCAGCCAGCAACTACGGAGGTAATTATTGTTTGCAGCTTGAGATATGCCTTTCGCTTCCGTTCTCAGGACACGTGACAGTTAACTGTTAATTTCGAATGGTGTCTACTTTCGAATATTCCAATGGTTTTGTTACTTTCCTACCATTATGGTAGTCGTGGTGCGCTCTAAGGTGGAATTGTGTGTTAAAAGTTCTCCTTTACTTAGCCCTCTTAGATGTCGGCCAAGCTTCTTTTCGATTTTATCCCACAGACATTTTTGGCACTTCATTGTAGAACAGGTTTTTTTTTTTAGTTTCCTTTGGAAACACAATGGCCACGTTTTGCATTCAATTAGATGCGGCCACTTTAGCAGATAATTGGAACATCCAGTGTTTTAAAGATAGATGAATGTCTAGACACTGAGTTGTGAATTCCGTAAATTTTTAATCGTGTCCGTATATTCTCGCTCAGGAGAAATTCTGCAAGAAAAAAAATAAGTGATCTGATGTTTTATCGACTAAGCAAATGATAACTTATATTGAAGGAATTCAGATTGGGTTTTTCTTAAAGTGAAAATAAACAAAAGACAAAAACTGAAAATTATGCATTCAATTGCAAATAAAGTTCGCAGCTGTCTAATTCAATTGGAGGTATGATAGATATGTGACATCCACATGACACGATTAAGACTATGAAATAGATTAAAATGTCACCGGAATGTCACGCGTCAGTCGCGTAGCGATTTCGAAACAGATAGCAACGCTAAAGGAAAGAGTTGTTATTAGAGCTGGTCTCAACGAAAAAAATCGCTGCCACAATTCTGAGCCATTATAGAAACGTGTGCTGTCTATCAAATGCCGTCATGTCATCGCCTTAGCGGGAGAGTCGTAAAAGGCGGAGTTACAGCGGTCATTCAGCGGTCGATGATGTCATAACAGCAGACGAACAAACGAGTCATTTTACAGTGGCTTTCAGTTGGTTGCGACAAGTCGCGGAAAACGCTGCACTCTACTTCGGCTTAGCGCCATGGACGAGACAGATCTACAAGGCAACGTCAATTCGCTCGAAAAAAATCAAAAGAGAAAACGCATTCTGGATGATAAAGGTAACACTATCGAATCTCCCTTGTTAATTTTGCTGTATTTGTATTAATCAAAGTCAGGTCGGGTTGCACGCGGTCAAAACTCGCGCTGTTTGTGTTTTCGTCGCTAGCTTGAGTCGCAGCCGACCCGATCGATGAGCGAAATTTATTGAAATTTTCAGTCAAATAGCGGTCATATGCTCTGAATGCGTCTCATTTCACTTGAGTTTGCAGTCAGAGCCGTTAGCGAGTTTATTGGCGGCAGTGACCGGTTGCCTATCATGTCATGAACAAAGACAAAATATACGGAACGTTTAAAGCTAAAATCATGTGACGATAATGACGGTGTTTTGTACCTCATGTGATTGCATTGACTAGAAATTAATTGCGATCTTTATTGTACTTTTCCACACTCTCACGATCTCAAAACGTTAGAAAGCGCAAAATCTCTAAAAATGTTTTGCGGTGTCCTTTCTGCATCAAAAATTGCAATTTTGTCCCGTTGTGGTACCTAGTTGTAACCAGCAGACATTAAGGACCAATTGCTTTTTTCGGTGCAGTAAGTAGCTTTGAAATGCAGACTATTCTTTAGTATTATTCTTAACTCGAAAACGCAAAACTGCGACCCAAAATCTAATTCGATTTTTGTAAAACAACTGCGTATGGTCACCTTAGGAAATCGGTGTTGACAAAAATAGTTCGAGGTATCATTAGCATCAGTTTCCGGCTTCAAATGGATGAAAATGTCAACATCGAGCCGGTTAATTATATGAGCTATTTCTTCTCCCAATAAACAGCGTTGATTTAGACTGAACTGTAAAACCTGAAAATTAACTGAAAAAAAGGAGAACAGCAGTAGACGTGTTACGGATGTCCTCAGCCGACTAAACTATATTGAATTTTTAAGATATAGCACAACACCTTATTTTGGTGACTGACATAATAAGAGTATTCTGTTTTCCTTGTATGGTCGGGTAAAACAGTTTTGGTTTTTATCGCAGAACCAAATGTTTTTAACACCTTACTTTTCTTCTGCAGCTGTCTCCAAAAAATATTTTTGTCATCAAGATGTTTTGCCGTCGACTTTCGTTTACGTTTCAAAAATTTACTATATCTCGCTCTCTATATGGAATGCAAACATCAAATGTTACCAGAAAAAAACCAAGCGGACAATTTTTTTAGAACACCCCGCTAAATTTCGAGCTTAACAGGGAAAGTGTTGCATTCGAAGAGGTTACTCGCCGGTAGAGAAATTACCGGTTGTTTTTCTTTTTGTTGATATATTTTTCGGATGACTGAAAAGGTATATTTAGATCAGTTCACACTCTTCCTGTTTCTATTATTGCGACTGAGCAACGCTTGCGTCGTGCGCGGAGTCCGACTTTGTTTGCTTTGTGATTTAGAAAACAAAAATGCTGTCAAACTCTGCCAGAAAATTGCTTTTTCATCCAACAACGTTGGTCAAAATAGAAGGCCAGCTCAAAAATCTGAGGTTGTCTAAGTTACATCCCACGCAACCCATTCCTAACTGAGTCGAAAACGACAACAACCAACAGCGTACAACCGGGAAAAATTGGAAAGGTCATTGTAAGAAAGTAATTATGATAGTAAAGAGCCTTTTTTATCTGATATTTAAGAAAAGTAACATGGACCATAACCAAGCGGTGAGCAATATGTGAATTGTTTAAAGGAGAAAGTAATATCTAATACCTCCAATCTAGAAGTAACTTTTTTGGCCATGATCTGAAATGCCGCTAAATAAAGCTGCTTGATAAGGTTGAACGGGTTAAAGCGGAACAAGATGACGCAACTGAAACAAATGTTGTTCCGTTTTGTTCGCTCTGCATTCTGTGTTCCTTTTCAGTCCTACTGAAACACTTCAACAAAAATTCGTTACCTCTTTAAAGTAAAAGGAGTTTTGCCGTGAATTTGGTAAATAATCGTATTACAGAACGAGCCGTTTCTCCTTATTGTTTTGCTGTTTGTGCCCTTCGTGTGATAAATTGAATTAACACTAATTCTTTGACACCGTGAAAAAGAAAAGGAAATAGCGATAAAACTTAAACAAGGAAATTTGTTCGTCATAGGAATGATTTAAAGCAGGAGATTATTTTTAAAACGATCGCAGTGTTATTCAACGCAAGTACATCATGAGCCATTTGAATATGAGGGTTGGTTTGGAAAAAGAGTTGTTTTAATCCCCCTTTCAGTTTCATTGTTTGTGATATAACCTCAGAAGTAATACCTTCACGAAAGCAAATTTAAGTAAAGTTCATAAGGTTAGATTTGTTCCTGTTGAAAACCATTTCAGTTTCGAATCTACGATAATATTTTTACCTCCTAATCATGCAAGTTGAATTAGTAGAAAATGATCTGAAAGGTCACCTTTAGCTATATTTTCTACAGTAGTTATTTCATCTCGTTGTAATACCAAAACCTTATAACTTTTATTCGACAAATAGTTCGATTTATCCAAAATAAATACATCATGTATTCGTTGTAGATTTTATTTCCTCTCTACGTCAAAAGATATAGTTTTGCTTTCTTTCAGTTGAAGTCCTTGATTGATATTGGTCGGATCAAATGTCTCCATTAGCTATTTTCCCCGCACAGATGTTCGCAGATAGATTAAAACTAAAAATTCTAGCGAAATTTCTACTCCAAAACATCTTTTTCAAAACAATAATGTGACAGCGTGCGATTGAGATATATTCTAGATCCTTTCGAAGTGATTCTTTTGCAAGAGGGTTACTGATCTCCATTTATTTAGCTTACAGAAAGCTTCAAGGGTCCCCAGTTTTTTTTGTTTTTTTTTGAGTGATTTTAAGCACTTAACCAAGCGGCTCCTATCTCTCTAACGCCAAATCTCTTTATTACGTCCATTAACTCCTGCACGAAACGTTTGCAACGCGTATCAAGGATAAAAGTGCACTTGCCACGGCCACCTTGTACAAGCGAGATTAGCCTCGAGCACTTTGTACACACAGGCGCTCCTTTCTGTCTCTGTACTGCCATCAAGCTTAGGCGTGGCCTTTGTTAGCAGCAACGCACCTTTTTTTATTTCTGCATGTAAAACAAGAAATACAAAAACGCAGCAAATTTCCTTTGCTAATTCGTTGAAATCGTGACTGATTGCTGCCTTCCGAGCTTCGCAGCAGTTCGAGGTAGGTGATTTTAATGTGGATATTCCGAGAAAGTTCGAATTTGGACGATAGGAAGTAGCCCATCGCACACCGAGGTTTTTGACTGTAATGAAAAATTCTGTGGCGTTTTGAAATTAGGATTTTTCCGCAGAATCTTAATACTTCATAGTATGGTAACGAGAAACTATATTTCAGTAAAACTTCCTTGTCTCCATCACTTTGCAATCAATTACTTTAATCTAATGGAGATGTTGCCAGCTTTTCGGCGCATTATCATGTTCGTACATTAGAAAATGAATATGCTCTTAACATGCCAAAGGTGTTTATACCTGTTAACAAAATTGATCGAAAAGGACAGTTAAACAGTGACAATGCTTCTGATTTGTAATGTTGTGATAATGACACAATTTGCATAAGCAGAGGAAAAAATTGAAAAGTTTTAGACAATAAAGAGTTAAACAGCACCGAACTTTAATATCCATCTCTTTGATTTTTATTGATGGCTACTGTAATGGCATTGAAACAATTCATATTGAAGGAAAAAAAAAACTATGAGAAGGCGAGGAGAGGCAAAAAGTACCCATGGCAAATGAGCTTAAATCTCCTTGTCTGCTAGACATTTTCTGTAGTCTAAATGACACCTTTGTAGGCGCAAAAGAGGAACCTTTTATTTCCCAGAGATAAACACTAGTTTGGAATGACTACTTGCCTCAAAATTTTGTTTTGATTCAAATTGTAACTTTTTTGTTTGACTTCCCGTATTACGCACCACTTACCAAGGCACGCGGTAAAACTCTTTTCAAAACTGCAGCTTTTTGTATCAACCATTGGTGAAACAAACTAACTTTTTTTTAGATTTAGAAGGCTATAGACCCTGATAACTTATTGAAAACCGCAGCAATATGTTCACAAATTAACTCTTCAATTTTCGAAAATATTTGTTATAATGATCCATCAAATATTTTTTGCTGGCGCGCGATTGGTCTGAACGGAGCACGTGACCAAATATCCCCCAACTTCACCCAAGCGATATTCCGCAATTTTTAAACCTTACGTCCACAAGGAAAAGTCTTCGTATCAAATTTAATTCAAGATGAGAGAGGGTTTGGTACTGTTACAGAAGATGGGAAATCTTTTTTTGTTCATAAAGTCGTACCAGACAACACTCAAAAGAAAACATCTCCGCTGCATATACAGTAAGCTGTTCGTACACATTTTTCCCGCGCGTTGCAAAATATTTGAAGGATAATAAACATAATAGCCTCTATTTGCGCGAAAATATGTATGGATATTTGTGCGCGGACATTATCTGCTTCGCTCTCGGAAAACTGTTTGCATCTTGCAACAAATGATATCCGCGGACAAATATCCACATATTTTCCCGCCAAATAAAGGCTATTTTTTATATTTGATTGGAACTTTGAACATGATTTCAAGCCTGGAGTTTCCTTTTTTTTCGCTTTTGTTGTCGTTGATGTTGTTACCGTGTCCCCTTGTTTAGACTTCGGAGTTATAGTTGAAGTTGTGAGAATAAACACTCTTCAACAAATGCTAGTATCAATTCGAAAGTAGCAGAAAGAGGAAGTATAGAAAAAATTGACTCGTGCAAATATGAATGGTGTTGAAAATTACCCAAATGTCTTGACTCGGAGCAGAAAGATATAACTAAGACTTTGTAGTTTCAGCATTGCTGTTTATGCTCACTATTTTCTGAAATTTCGGGAGCTTTAAATGAAAGGAAATTTAACAAAAAATTCCATCAGTAATGCCTTTCATGCCCACTATTTCCAGCAGTCCGGATCTGCAACGAAAGAAATTAAACCTGAAAAATTCTTACAGCTGAAGCTGCGAGCACTGCTTTGACCAAAAAAATCAAAACCCACAATAAATATGAAAGATACAGATGGTAAATTTCTAAGGCAAATTACGAATATTTGGCACTGATTAAGTGAAATGACAGACTTTTAAAAACAACTTCCATCATATTTTTTCAAACCGTGGATGAAACCATACGCTGGGTCAGTAGTTCAGATGTTCATACTCTACCAACAAGGGGCACATATATAGTTGCGCCTGCAGTCCCCTGCTTTCAGCGGTACCTTGTCGTCAGAGAGCCAGATCAGGAGGACTTACAATCTTGAGTTTCAAAGTCTATAATGTAACGATCTGGAGAGTGCTAAATATTCTAACGATTATACAGGACAAATTCATCGTTGCTCAGCTGTTATATTTACAACTTTTGCAGAAACTTGTGCGACTCGTTAACAGGAGTCTCCATTCACTACTGATACCTTTGAACAATGAAGTATTTTTTCGTATTCTTTATACGTGTTGATAAGAGATCATGCCATCATGGATATGCCAAAGCCTTTTTTCTTTGATTATCTGCAACACCATGCCTTACCTACAGTACATAAGGTGCCAAATCATCACGTATGAGCTTTGATTTTCTTTGCCCGAGGCAACTGAAAAATAGCAACTATGAATCACTGAAAGTGGTAGACTGAATTTCAGCAGTACTCCAAGCGGTGGGATCCTGGAGAATGAAAGGCTGCACGAAATATGATATTTCGCCACGAAAACTTAAAAGTTAAACCGAGAAACGTTTTTCTAGTCACATGGAAGCACATAGATTGCTATAGGGGCAAAGTAACTGATATGATTCGGTTATCAGGCTACACGCTCTATTTACGTTACTATTTGGACGAACTAACATTAATACTCCTCCTACTGCTGCTGTTGTAAGGTGCCTTTTCAAAAACTGAATCTTTTTCTGTAATTGAACTTTGGAGACGTTAGATATTTCTATTTTAAGATCTAAACGGCAAATAAACATTCCTGTCGTTGTGAACCTGAAATTCAGATGGAACAAGCTTTTGTTACTGCAGTATGTGAATTGAGTGCTCTGTTTACATTCAGCTTATGTCCTTATACACTGCATTGAATCACTCTCATCAGCGATCGTCCGCTATTTATTTATCTACTGATTTATTCATATTGTTGTCTATTTATTCACTTCATTTTTAAATACTATCCTGATTAGATGCCTGACTGACGGACGGGCGGACAAATTGATTGAGAGATTGAGAGATTGACTCACGAACTTGCGGCTAACTGATACACTGACGAAATAACTTACTGACTGACTGACCACATGAATGACTGACTTATTGACCAAATGACTTAGTGACCGATTGAATAATTGAGTGGCTGACTAACTGACCCACTGACCAGCTGAGTGTTTCACTGGCTGACTTTGTTTGAAGATTTCTGACCGCTGGCTGATTAGTTGACCCATTAAATGATAGACCGACGGACTAACCTCCAATTGAATGCCATGCGGAATGTTTTACTGACTGACTGATTGGCCAATCGAGTAACTGCCTAACTGACTGACTGGCTCCTCGACTAATTGCCTGAATGACCCACTCGCTAACTTTATTACCGATTGAATGACTGATTAAATGACTGTTTGACTGCCTGACTTACTGACTAAATGACTCTTTAACTGATTGACTGTCTGACTGACTGACTCATGGAAGTGCTGCTTGACTGACTGATGAAAGGATTGTTTGACTGACTGACTGACTGACTGATGGAAGGACTGTTTGACTGACTGACTGACTGATGGAAGGACTGTTTGACAGACTGATTGACTGATGGAGGGACTAAAAGGGTACGTTTCTAAAGAAACTATGGTGCTGCGTCGGTGGGAGAGTATAGCAGGTAATTTAGTGTTAACAACTGAGTTGAAACGTCAGTCGCTCTGACGAAGGGCTAACGCTCGAAACGTCAGCTTTTTTACCCTTTACGGTGGCTAATTTACGTTTTCAACTCAGTTGTTAACACTAAATTACCTGATGGAGGGACTGTTAGACTGACTGACTGATTTGGGGACTGTTTAACTGACCAACTGTAGAACTGTTTGAGTGACTTGGTGTGTTTCTGACTGAGTGACGGAAGGACTGTTTGACAGACTTAGTTTGTTTCTAATTGACTGACTGCCTAAATGGATGACTGACTGAATGAAAGAGTAGCTGACTGAGTCACCGGCTGTTTAGCCGACCGAGGGGCTCTGGTGCTTCTGGTTCTTTTTTTAAGATTTTTGCATTCACCCGCGCACTGCTTTTCAAGGAGAGTTACATTTCATTTGGTGTAAAACTTTACACACCAATTTAGTTTTCGTTCCACCTTGCGTCAGATTGTTCTAATAGATCGATAACAAATGTCTTTGCAACGTTTCCTATGAAGATGTCGCATGTCTCTTCTTGCTAATAATTAAACTTTGCTCTTGGCGCCATTATTGTTTCCTCAGTCTCGTGTTTGGTGAGATATTTGATCGTTTTACAGTTTGTGCTGGTTCGGTTATCGTTATTCAATCTTTAGTAAAATAAATTGAAAAATAATGAAATTTCGTTTTTACAAAACATTTGAATTACGTTATTTGCATTAGAAAACGGCTGAATGGCGCTCGGCAAATTCAATTCTCGCTCTTTGCTGTTTTCCGACACTTAAGTCGTAAATTTGTCATATTTAAAGTTTGCGTAATCATGAAGTTTTCCATATATCCATTAAATAAATATGAAAGTATGCATGCGTCCTGCAAGAAGATTCGGGCATAAGATTTCATTATTGGAGACAGACTCGCGTTCATAGTTTAACTCTGTGAAAGCTTTTCTGTTAATGACAAGATGGTCACTTTCTTGGAAATGTCATCCGAAACTTGTTTAAGTGTGTTTTGTGATAAGGTTGTTAAATAGCTGTTTGTAAAACTACAGCACTTCAGGTCCGGGCGGAGCAAGGTTTTGCGCAGGATCTTAATGGGACAGTGCTGTATTTGTCGACGCTATTATCTTGAACCATGATGTCTAGAGAAAGAAGTTCTTTCTTGCACTTTGGAGATCGAGAGTTTTCGCGTTGGTTTAATTTTACCTGGGAAGGTATGATAAAAAAGAAAAAAAGAAAACCAGCATAAAGGTTTTTTCGTTTTTTTTTCCTGCTAATACCGTGTAGCTTTGCCAAAACAATCTTTGTAAATAGACAATAACTTTGTGCTTTTTACTATTGCGAACTCTCGCTAAGAACACCTTTTGATTTCATTTTTGTCCTTTGAATAGAAAAAGGTCATCGTAGATTTGTGCATCATCAGATTAGAACACACTGCATACGTTAATATCGTCGAATGATCAAACTCTTGTTCAAGTTTTATCGTGCAAACGGCTTTGTAATTTTTATCATCCTGTAAATCTTCATCACTTCCTGTTTTCTCTTCATTGCTTATCCACTAAAGTAAATTTTTTTCTTGGTTCCTTTCTTTATAAAGTCTGTTCTCTAATTCACAGAAGGATGATTCAAAACGTGAGGTAATTCTCTAAGGGTTTCGTTTTCATTTTACCATTTTATCAATTCTTTTCATTTTTGCGTGTTCATTGCCTATTCTATAAAGCTGACACTTCCTTTTTGGCTTTCTTCTTTGCAAAGTCTGCTCTATTATTAGAAAAAAAAATCATTCATAGCGTGAGGTAACTCATTAAAGGTTTCTTTTACATATTACCCTTTTACCGATTCCTTTCATTTTTGCGTCTTCACTGCTTATCCACTAAAGCGGAAATTTCCTTCTTGGCTTTCTTCTTTTCAAAGTCTGTTTAACTATTCGCAGAAAAAACGATCTGAAACGAGAGGCGACAATTAAAGTTTCCTTCCATTTTACCAATAATCGATGTGTTGTCATGGTTTGCCTACACTTTTTCCTAACTTTCCTCTCATCTTAAAATTTCGATTCGCTCCCTACATTAGAAAGGCTCTTAGTGTTTTAACCATTTGATTGGGCAAGATATCTGCGCTTGTCACGAGCGTAAAACAAAGTAAATTCTGAGACCCCATGAAGAATTGAACCTCAGACCTTCAGATTCCTCGCTTCTATTTTCTACCACTGAGCCACAGAGATTCTACGGTGAGCCATGCCATTACTAAATTTGATTCCTAGTAAGGACTCAGAATCGTTTCTTTGTTCTACAAGACGAATGAGCATCTTTCTCTTTTCACCATCTTCCTCTCTATAACATGAAACAACCTTTTTTTGCAGCTTGTGAGGTGTGTGGTGATCGTTCCACTGGGAAACATTATGGAGTGTACTCATGCGATGGGTGCAGTGGCTTCTACAAAAGAACGTCCCGACGAGCGGAGCCCTGGCTGTGCAAAGGCCAGGGACATTGTCCGGTGGACAAAAGCAGTCGCAATGACTGTAAAGCTTGCCGGCTCAAGAAATGTGTCGAGATCGGCATGAATTTAGACGGTGAGTTTTGGACTAATTTGTAGTCCGCTTGCATAGAAACGAATGATACTCTTCGTGATCAAACAAAATTTACAATAAGCGTCTTTTCAATTCCACCTAACATTTGGGCAGACTATGTTCGTCTCTCGTTTCTTAGTACCTGTCGTCTTTCATTTTTCTTTGCTAAGCGCTTCGCTTTGAAACATCTCTCAAAAATGTTTCGTTATTGAATTGATATTGAGAATCTGGTTAAGGTGTTCAGAGGGGTAACAGAGTTTTACCAGTATTTCTGAAACTCGTAGAGAAGGGTCAAAGAAATCAAAATGTGATAACGCAAATGCCCCTTTTTTAAGTGACTAAAGACGAAAAGTTTGAGAAAACCCCTCTACTTTGTGTAGCTCGATCAGAAACTTGTTTCGATCGAAACGGTTGCTATCTGTGTATTTGTGTATCTAAAGATGAACGAAAAATGTGGCGTATTTGTTCAGTTTTCGCTTAAATAATTCTAACCGATCATATTGTTGTTTAAAAACTTAGATTTGTACGCTATTCAGGTGCGTGTTAAGCGAATTTAATAGTATGTTTTAGTCTCAATAATTTTCCATTTAAGTGGGATTTTTTGGTGACTTTCTGGTTATTGATTCCGTTCATAAAAAAAATAATGAATTCTCCGCTGATTTGAAGCGCTTGGATTTGATAGATTTACTTATGTCTTCACAAGATTCATGCTCCTTTCATTGTGGGCATTTTGGCTGGCGGAATGAATAAATTAAGCAATGAATCAATCATTGTAGTTGAATCAAAGCTTACTGTTGCCATTATGAGTGAGTGTTAATGCACACACTTGATGTCTCTGTTCTTTCTTCAGAGCACGGTTTTATTCTATCACCCTCTGCTTTTAAGTAATTAGTACTATTCACTTATTTTTTGGTTTTATATGTGAAAGGCTGGTGACAGCTGTTCCCAAGTCTTGTTTAAGTGGCACGGAAAGTGTGAAATATGAAACTACAGAAGATATAGAATGAACACATTCATCTTATCTTTAATACAAGATAAAAATGGAAAGCGGAATCTCTCTTGTTCGAAACTTAATGTAATGACTTCGCGCATTTTACCCCTAACTTACGATCCGCAGAAGGTAGTTTCAGGCTTCGAAACCATGCAAAATCAATGAAGGGAAGATTTAAAAAATACTTTAATTATGGTCTTCATGTTAAGTCGATTTCAAGCTGACTTTCATTTTCGTGAGCGCTACAGATTAGCACCTAAGAGTAGGCGTCAAAGCAATTTCCTTTTCTATAAAACTACAATTTGCAGCAGGGATTGTGATTTTAAGACCTCGAGGATATAGTCTTGATAGCCATTTGATTTTTAATGATTTGTGTTATAACAATGGTATTTAGTTTCCTCTGAAGCTATACAAAAGTGAATCTCCTGCTTCAACACAAGGTTTCTTGTAAGATGTTACTTGAAGGGTGGAACGTTACGAGAGAAGGAACTCTTCACATCATTAACCACCTTGCACTAAATTTCCCCCACACCAGCATGCAAGAGACCTCAATACTGATCTTATCCTCTATGAGACACGCAAACATCATTGTGTTTAAAGACTTGACGATTCAAAGCCAGTCATATAATCTTCCTTAAAGGACCCTTGGCCTTAATTTTTTTACATGCTGTTTAGATCGTTATTCCTTTCAAAATCGTAGCTTCGTCAAAGAAGAGCACTCAAGCAAAGATGTGATCCTCGTAGGTGGACTGCAATTTTAGTTATTACATAAAGTTGCTTGAAAAAATTCAGGCTTTGACGGGTTTCGAATTTGTCCCATCCCTCCCATCCCTCGCGGATACTAGTCGGGCGCAATTTCCTAAACTGAGCTACGAAGCCTCCGTTTGGGAGCGAGGCAAACTCTCGAATTTTAGTTGGAAGTTCACTGGACACTGATGTGGTGACTGAATTAAACTGTAGAGTGAAATTCAACTGAATTTTTTTGCGCCTTAGAGTTCCTGTACAAGCATGATATCATATTATTCCCGAGAGAAGTACTTTGAATTTCGTCGACTTTCATTTGTTCAGTGCTTTTTTGCATTTTCCTAATCAACAGTCCCCATTATAATATTCTCTCCACTGCATTGTTTTTTTTCCATATTAAAAGAATATTTATGAAGTAAGTGATTTGGATTTTTAGTAGAGACATCGACAGTTTGGTAGATTTTTGAACTATAGTGTATTCAATTGATTATTTTCAAACTACAAAAAAAAATCAAAGAAACATAACATGGTTACAAATGTAAAAACGATCAAGAAAAGACAACAAAAGCGCGACAAATTTAGCGCACAGAGTAAGTACTTACTTAACGAAACTTCTACTCTTAGACCATTCAAAGAGTCCCACAGAGGATAATTAACTAAAATATTTCGTAGCGGTATGATAATGTGCAATATGCAAAACAGGGGGGCAGTTTCTGACGAAACTGTAGTGCTGCGTCGGTGGGGAATGTTGCAAGACAATTTGGTTTTATAGCCTGAGTTGATGATGTAAATTTGCCACTATAAAGAGTTTCTAAACCTTAGGTTTCTGGTGATAGCCCTTCGTCAAAGCAATTTGAGTGATATTTTATGGCAGACTCCATACTGGGGCTTATTTTCGGTTGTGACAACAAACTATTAAAATATCTCGTCTGGGCCTTAAATTGTGATTATTAACAGAAGGATTTCTGTCCTTCACAGGTGTGTATCGCCGTTCAAGATTGAGTGAAGAACTTATTCAATCACCTCCTTTAGATGGTTCAGCAGTCAATGCACAGAGTGACATGCGCATTGAGGGGTCACCATCGCCGGAAGCTCTCGGTAAGTTACTTCATTGTTGTTGTTAGTGGACAGTCTCTTCGTGCATCTTTCGTGCTTTCCAAACTTCCTGCGTGCTTCATATCTCGATGAACCCACGCTGACGTATGAACCAATTGCTAATTAATTCATAGTATATTTGTTCCTTCTCTCTTACGCTAAAAGCTTCCTTATTGGTTTTAGGTTTTCCTGTTGCGACCTCGCAAATAAGGCTTGCTCAAATAAAAACAGTAATGGTTAAAACAGAAGAGCAGCCAAATCAACAACAGCAGCAACTTACAGAACAGCAAAAAAATACAGAAGAACAGCAACATACCACAGAAGATATTCAGAAAGCACCCTCAAGTCCGAAATCTTACGACGAAACACGAGACGACGAAGTTGTCGCTCGGCAACCAAACGGAAATCCTTCGGAAAATAACAACCACTACAGCCCAATCCATCGGGCTTCTCCTTACACCACCCCACTGACGTGTTCACCCATTCCTAGCCCTGTCAGGGTGTCCTTAACTGTACAGGGGAGTGGCACAAACATCCGTCCTGGTTTATCCACAACACCACTCTCTTCGCAAAGATTCCATTCCCCTATATCGTCAATTCATCAGAACGGATACCAGGGTTCAACCGCCTCCTTTCCTAAGCTGCCTAACGGAGACGCTGCTATCAACAACCATCGAATGACATCCACGGCTCTTGTGTCTTTCAGGAACGTCCAAAGGCACTTAAAGCCCTCGCAGATAGGCCTATCAGAGCTCCATCAGGCGGTGGAACCTCTTTCGTTTCACACCTCTGAGCCTCTCCATGACGCAGCTGTACGTCTTCTATCGGTGTCACTGAGGTTTGGTCGCAGACTTCCTTGCTTCAGGCGCCTGCCTTTTCGTGACCAAGTTATCCTTTTGGAAGAAGGATGGAGAGAAATGTTGCTTCTGGATTCAGTTTTCTGGATGCTGTCACCAGGAGGTGTTACTGAGGCGGAGAGCAATCAGCGACGTGAACAAGAATTTAAGAACATGCAAGAGGCTCTTATGCCTTTGAAATCACTAAAGTTGGACAGCTCTGAGTACGCATGTCTTAAGGCTATCATCCTCTTCAGGACAAGTAAGTTAGCACTTCGTTAGCTTGTTGGAGGTGAGGTGGAGGGAAGGGGTATTGTTTCGTTTATACCGTCTTATATTGCAAAAGAGTTCTGTTGTTTTAAATTCGCAATCGCTTACTTGAGAAAGAATGATATTTAGGAAGATAGATATAAGTTCTCTAAAAAGCTTCATGTGATCAACTCCTTGCTTGAAATTAGCTTTAAAAAAGTCTGTGTATCAGTAAACGTCCATCTGTTCTTGACTTAAGGTTTTCCATTGAAGTTTTGTCCATCAAAGGAATAATTGACATGAAAGGGATTTTATGACGGAAGGGGAGTTTAGGCTGCTGCATGGTGGAATTAATTAGCATAACAGTACTAAGTACAACAAATGATATACGATGTAACGCAGAAGGCTGCACTTGAGGGCGAAGATCATTTGAAGCATCATCGCCACCTGGAGATTATGGGAACAGACATTGTATGACCCTGGCTGAGGGAGCTTTATAAAGATTTCCTCTTATGATTTGAAATATCCACATTTTGGAATTTTGGGATATCAATTTATATCTTTGAAAATTCATGTACTTTCTGCTAAGTGAGAACCAGTCGCCCGGGCTGCTTTCCTCTTGCATGCGAAAGTTCTGGCCTAGCCTGTTCTAGGCACACAGTCAACGGATACGAGCGGAATAGGGGGTGAACAAAGAAGTTTTGTGGATTTCGGAGGTTTGATGGCCTCCTTGTTTGTTTCAGTTCGACATTCCCGCTATGCTTCGACCACTCGCTGTATATTTCGTCTTCCCTGTGACTGCTACAACAAGCATTCCTGTATTCCCTAAATGTCTTTTCTTTTAAATCTGTTTCATGTGTTTCTTGGCAGATATTCAGGGTCTTAAAGCAGCAGATCAAGTCGAAGAACTTCAAGACGAGGCTCAGCTTATACTTGCAGATTACATTTGGTCCAGACTTCCGGCTCAACCGGCTCGCTTTGGTAAAATACTTCTGAGTGTGGCTGCTCTGCGCAGTCTCGCCGAAAAACCAATTGAACACTTGTTTTTCAGTTCTGTTCCCGCCAAAGACATGTTTGAGTCCATATTATCACAAGTGATAAGTTCTAACTGAATGGTTACTGAGGAAATTGACGTCCTTTTCTTCTCCAGATGTAGGGTTAGAGTTTCGCATGCCTGATTTTAAGGCTAACTGGTTTTATATACGAGTAAAGTAATTTATCTTGAGTTTTCTTGCAGTAAGTAACGCTTATAGATAAGATTTTCCAGACATCTTGTCCGAGCAACCAACCAGCCAAATAATCAGGATTACAGGATAGAAAGGTTCTGCCATAATCTTTATCGTTCGTGTGGTCGAGTTTTAGACGAGGATATTGCTCTTTTATGTTACTGTGGGAAATAAATTGCTAAAAGAATAATTTTTAACCTATTATACGGTGACATGCGGAAAATAATACAATCGAATGTTTTGTGAAAACCGAAACGGTCAGGAGAGAATTTCTGAGTACTATGAGCGCGTAACGAAGGGCGTGGTGGCTGTCATGAAAGTGCAATCTAACGAACTGCATCTCAAAAGGTGCTTCGAACTGTGCTGGGATGAAATTTGCTCCACTATATTTAATAAAGAGAGGGGACAACCTCGTTTTCTGAACTTTCCAGCTCTAAGGTGTCTTTAATTTTTGTGTAATAATCATTTTCAGTGTAAATTTAGTCAGCGGGAAACGTTTTTATTTTCTATGGCATTAACTCTTTTACTGAAACAGTTGTGTTCTGTAATCAGTTCAAGAGAATTTCCCGTGGTTTTTAATACACTTTGCATTATATTCTGAGCTTTGACGAGTTTATTGAAGGTTCGTCCTCGATGACAAGCAACAAATTTACAAAAGAAAATCAGCATTATTGTTATAAGATTATTAAGACACGAAATTTTATGTCATTTTATCCTGAGTGTAAGTAAAAGGGATTTTTTCACCCACAGGATCAAGGCACTTGCCGAGAGATACTTTTACATTACATCAGTGATCTAACGCTACATGACTCCTAGTTGAACATTAATAACAAATTAAATTACATAAAATTTCTAATCTCTCAATTATCACGATAAACATGTTTCAGCACCAGCCAGCAAAATCTCATCAAAGAGACGTATTGAAGGCTTGCTGGGTAGGGTCTGGCGAATGATGGATGAAAAAATCAAACGAAATATTTGTTTTATTTGACATGTGTCTGTTTCAGTTGAGCAATTTCAATTTTGTAAAAGCAACAGTTCGAAGGACGGGGACATGAAATCAATGGAGGTGTATAACAAACGGAAGACTTACAAACAGAATTGATCACCTTACGTTTGGATCGGACAGGCAAATGTGAATAGTGAATAATGGATTTCCCGAACTGCAGTTATAATCTTTACCGATCCCTCAGACTAGTCTTTCATACTTAGTCTTCTTGACAGCCAGAACGATGAAAACTACGCCTATTATGACAAAGATGCCGCCAATCACAGGCAAGGCCACGAAAAAACCACAAAAGAGTTGCAGGCTTCCCAATACCTGAAACAATAATTGAATGTCACACAGGCATTGGTCAGTTTGGCACCTTAGGCAAACTATGGCAGTCCTAGATAAAGTTGCGAGGATTTTTTGAGAGGAAGGGAACATGATGTCAGGTGTTTACGTTCAAAGCTTCAATGTTCAGTTTTGTGTTTTTATTTAAAAAATATCATTTTATCTGCAGCAAAAAAGTCTTATGTTAAGATGAATTTTCCCGAAACACAGACAATGAACTTAACATTTTTTAGTGCTAATAAGGGCTCCACGACACACTAGAGGGTTTGATCCGCGCTAATGCAGTATACCTACCTTTGAACGGAACTCCTTTGAAGTCATTGCATCAATACTTGCTTCTTTTTCCGTCCACAAGATTGGTATCATCTTATCTTCATAACTCACATTTTTAGTTTCTGGGTAATATGGGGACAGTGACGAATTAGCGATGATTTTTCCGTTCAGCTGGTAGCGAATCTTAAGCTGCATTGCTGTTCCGGATATTGGTTCAATACTAAGCTGTAAAAGGAACAAAGTACCTGGTAAGATCTCTCTAGGCTGGTTGACCAATCCCATTATATTATCAAGAGTGTTTTAGAAGGCATTATAGAAAACCACATTTAGACCATTTTCAATAAACAAAACTTGTCGATTATGATCTACATCCAAAAGACAAAAGCCTCGCCACTCTTTGTTTTTTTTCTCGACGGATCCTCTCGGAATTCACATCCTCTCCCTCGCCCAGCACAATGCTGACGTTTCTGTCTCTCATCTTACAACCGCAGTGTAACATCGATCAATCGATCAAGGGAGGTGGGTGAATGGAGGTGGTTTAAAATTGATTGAGAATTTCTGAAATGAAAGGGCTTCTTCACGGAACAATATTTTTCTCCAAAGTGTTAAGAACCCTGGCTAAACTTGTATGTTATACTTCATCGAGTAAGGTGTAGATATTTATACTCACAGAAGATCCATATTTTTGTTCGTTGGGAACGGGAAGACCTAAGTCCCCGTACAAGGAATCTTCGCCGTAAAGGAATCCTGGAAGGCTGGCGTAGATGGGAGCTTTCAATACTCGGCTGACATCAAAAACACCTTTGGTAAACACGGTCATATTATTTACCTCAACTGCAGACTCACTTATCACATATCTGTGCATCGGAATGTCATCTATTTGGACATCTCTTTTGTAAGTGATGGGAACAGCCATGCGAAATGTTGATACGAAAAGCTCGTATTTCTTAGCCGCTGGAGTGTATATCGCGGAGCAAGCTTTCAAGTGTTTGACACCTGGATATTGATACCCATAGCCTCGAACCCTCAGCTGATCGGAAGATGCATTTGGGTAGAAATCCTTGTTAACTCGACTCTTACCATTAATTGCTAAAAGAGAGAATGAAATAGAACGTATGCATTCAGTGATTGGTCGGTGCCTATGATCAATTAGAGAGCACACGCAAAGCTAACGTCAGGTAATATTTTTCTCTTTTCTTTTTCAACACGACGGAAAGTTTTGAAAATGTGCTCCAATGCTCTCCGAGTATATATGCAGGAGCTGTTTGGAATCAAGAAATCACAAAGTGTTTTTCCACGTCTACAGCTAGAATTTGGTGGTTCTTTAGTGTTGAAAGTTCTTGCCTATTATGGAAAATTAAGACACTGATACATTACATTTATGCACAATACTCAAATAAGAAATGTCGCAAGTTTACCTGCATAACTGAATGACTCGTCTGACTCACACGTGTACAGGGTCGAGTTCCCTCCTGCTTTGATCACTTCTTTTTCGCTGGTATCCAAGTTGATTGGGCCTGGTACATGTATCCCTAATGGATGACCCGGTAACGGCAGTTTTATCACGTAACCATGAGATAATTCATCCTGGCTTCGAGTTGTTGTGAGCCCGTAGTTATTATCATCGAGATACCAAAGCACATACTTGGACAACTCTATTATGAATTCGCCCACAGCTCTTAATATAATAAAGAAACTTGGGCAAAAAATACATGGAACAGGAAAACAAGATGTTATCTTGTTTGGGCACAGTATTTTTCTTACGGACCTAATCGCAGCAAGTTTTTCCCCTTCACCTTTCTGTAAGGCTAGTAAGTTCAATGCCAGACCGCAATCTTCAGTTATGTTTCCACTTCGGCATCTTTTCAGAAGCTTTGGATTATCAAATGGTCCAAATTTGGAAGGATCCATCAATGCACCGTATAAACCGTTCATCTCCTTAAGCGTGTAATTTTTCCGCAGAGGGAAAAATTTAGGAACCGAATTGAGCCAAGAACCAAACGCTGGATAACATGATGAGTTCAGAGGCAGCTGATTGTGTGTTTTACCCATTTCAAGCAGAATAGAGGTCTTGTTTAGTTTTGTCGTTGCACTGAGTTTTAGGAACAGGATGTTCATTATCATCGGAATGAAAGCGAAGCTGAATTCCCATGCAGATCCAACTCTTTGCATTATACCAAGGTAACCAACATTCAAGATCGTTAGCTGATTAAGAGCAAAAGAAAAGAGACCAGATTAACAACGAACTAACAACAATTAGAGATATATTGTAGAAGTTACCACACGTTCGGTATGTCTCCTCTGTGGGATAGAAGTGAATCACTTCCAAAGTTGATACCGATTATCAGTAACGAGCACAGTGGGAAGAATCAGATATAAATGAAACTTATTATGTTAAAAAAAGATCTTACATAAGAAGACGAAGATGAACATAAAGTTAATAATCAGCTGATAAACAGGTCATATTTCCGCTTTTGTGACAACTCAAAGCAGCTTACAAAAACTAACAATCATATAGAAAACCAAAAGATGCTTAGATAAACGATCTACCTATCTTGAAAAGCTCTTCCAAGCTATTTAATTTATTTTCATTCTTTTTAGTTTTTTAAATAAATAAGCACGAGTAAATTTTTTACTCTAACAAAATTGATGAAAGAGTAAAAATATTATGCGAGCCCGTAAGGTGAGTGCAATTCATGGTCTTTGAAAAAATTTATAAGTGCTTATTCATTCCAAATTGCACGAGAATTATGCAGATGCAAAGCGTGCGCATCAAGTGCAAAAATAATTTATTCAAACCCTGCAAGTGACATCGTGCGTTCGGTCAAAACAATCACGTACGACCAAAACAATAATATACAATGATATTTTCACATCTTTGAGGCGAAAAGAAGTTTAAAGGCAGGTTAAATAGTTCAAGGAATTGTTCAGTCTGGGTTGTTACTTCTTTGCACTGAATTAACCCTATTCTGCATTGAATTACCTGAAAACTGTATTTATCTTCACCAATCAGAACTGAGAAATTTTTTCATGTATCTTATTACTATTGTAATGATCAAAGATACTTTAGACAACAAACCTCATCGCTTTCTCGGCATGTTGGACATTCTTTCTCTGTAAGTGTTCTATTAAATTTGGCTCGTTGAAATGACTTGCTTGTAATTGTTCCTTTGCCAAACTTCACGTCAATTTCCTTCGATGTCATACTGTAAACATAAGGACCCTTTTCTCTGAGCTGAAAAATATTGGATAATATTCTTTGTAAGGTCCGTACTGAAGATCAAATATTGTTCCATTTAGAGCCGTGGGAAGGGAAAAAGGGGAGGTAACACGGAGTACGGGATCTCCCTCCCAATACCCCAAAGCTAAAAAGGTTGGAAGGTTTTTTCTACTCATCAGATATCTAGTGTGATGCAATGAGATATGCAATGAGACATGCACTGAGATACGAGTGATGCATCAGATATCAAGTGTGATGCAATGTTAATTTCCTGACTGGCCGGCGTACTTGTACTTTTTTAACTTTTCAATTCCAAAACTTACGATGATATGTTATGAATAGTAGAGCTGTGATGAAACGATTAGAAGACCCACACTAGATTTTTATCGGCTTAGATAATTGAAATCGAGGTTTCAACCTACCTCAAGAGGTCATGCTTAACTTTTTCTTAAAATTTTTTGCTTAGTAGTTCTCTCCTTTGCTGGGTCACTCAGTCACTCAGGAGTCTTAGCTTGAATCTAGACACCACACTTATTCGCACTTTATTGCATAACATTTGTTCCTGTTTTTGTTTGTTTATTTTTTTTTACGTACCTGTGGTTTCTCTCCTCGATAAAAAAATCCCATTTTGTTTGTGATATTCCAGTAGTAAACTTTTGTTAGAAAGTGACTCGGATTCCCCTGTACAGTGAATGAGAAAGATTAGCTCAGGGAAGACGTGAACCCTCTATTTTCATTGAAGAAAGAGAGCGCAAATATCGAGTTTGCTCATGTTAATAAACAAGTAAATACGAATCGTACGCTCATATTCTTTCTCACTTGCGGGTGTACGCCGCGGAATTTAAATAGGATGTTCCGCCCGGGTCTTCAAATTCACGCCGTTTGTCTGACCAGAAACGTCTATGTTCTACACTCCACTCTCTTTTATCGACCTGGCGTGTGATATTTATCCTTATTTTACGGCCCTTTTTTATGACAAAACAGTTCGAGCTGATCTGTATTCGAGGTCAAAGTCGAAGTAGTTATTTGGACAGAATACTTTCCATAACAATGATCATGAACTAAGGTATGACTTAGTAGGAAACTAAAAGTGATTCTTTCGAAAACACAGAGGTGATCAAAGTTTGACATGAAAACATTAGTTTATCGGCCGGCAAGCGACCGAGTGGCTTAATTGTGGTCTTGAAGGCAACATTAATGCGTTATTTAGTTTCGGTTATGCGCTGTTAATGAACTTCTGTAAATTCAAATATTTTGCATTTTTAAATTATTATTTACTTAGCGAGAAATATAAATTTACTGAGTTCTGAGATGTAGTGCTTGGTCGAAAAACAATGCTAAAACCGAGCCAGTTTTATGACAGCTGTCACCTTTTTATGCAGTTCACATACAATGATAATCCATTTCTTACGAACGTTTCTAGGAATGATAGTTTTGAAACAAAAATCTAGCGAAAGTTGCTTGCTTCAGTTTCGACTCGTTATCACCAACCGAATTTGCGGAGGAAAAAGTTGATTGTTTCAGGAAGCAACCGCATGTTTGTATAAACAGAGAACATTTGGATATTTTGGGCCTTACCGTCAGAATTTGTTGTTTTTTATGATGTTCATCTTACCTCTTGAGTGTAGCTGAAGGCAATATTTCAATCATGGAAGAGACACAAATTTCACTCACCAATCTTTTATAGCCCGGACTATCCTTGCTGTTGACACATATCGATTCCTGAACTTTCTTCAGCACCATATTTGGTGCTACAAATCCAATGACAAGGCCAAGGGCTATCAGAGTGATTCCTGTCAAAAGTAATATTATTCCTGCCACTTTCTTCCGATGCATGATAAAGTTTATCTAGTCCCTCAGTTTCTTTTCTAGGGCTGGCGAAAAGACGATTTAGATTTCTTGCAACTGTGTGTTAACAAGATATTAGATAAAAAATAATTAACTTTGGCTTCTTCTTTTATCGAAAAGGTACGGACCTCAAAGGTTTTCAATTAAAGGCGATGAAATTAGTATACGAACAAAGCGATCAGGCACCAGCAGGAAGCTTAACAAGTTATTCCTGTTCATTCCTAAACCCTTTAACTCTCAAGATATCATAAGTAATTCTTCTTACTGTCTGCCATATAGTTCTTGTGATGTTAGTTTGGAGAATTTGGCATTGGATCAACTAATAATCCCCTAATTAAGAATTTGTTTTGTTTATTCGCGTCACTTGTCTGCTTGATATTGTATTGATTTTGTTAGGAGAAATTCTGTCTTGGTCACTCATGGGAGTTAAGGATTAAACTATGCAAAATAACCACACAAATAAAAGATTTACGTGCGACGTCGTTTATTGGAGATTTTTCTGGTTTTCTGAGAGACCTGAAACGCTGACAATTAGTCAGTTCCGCTTCATCTTCGCTGACATCCGGGTACCAAGCGCTATATACTTGGTTTATTTCCGATGTGATGCCTATAACCTTTGCGCTTCTTTCATTTTCCGGTGAGTGTTTTTGTTCATGACATGTGACTCAATCTTCGCTCCTTCAGAGAGCTCCGTCAGCTTTTTTCTCCGTTATTTTTCTGAACTGTTGTTAGACAGTCAAGCGGCAGTTCCATTTTTTTCCGTCACGGTGGCAATGCCGGATAAGTACTTAATCATTGACCCTAAGGGAAACAGCTTACTTTGTTGCCTAGAGAGTCTCAATGTTCCTCGAGGCGAAACCGAAGTAAACATGTAAGGCCGACAGAAAACAAAACTCAGTGCCTCCCGAGGCGCTAGTCATTACTCGTTCTGCTATACCATCCAGCTCAAGAATGAGAAAAATTATACATGCAGGTCACCTTACGACTTTATTCAGTACAAAAACAAAAAAAAACCCAACTGCAATTTAAAAAATCGAAGTATCACAAACGTGAAAAACTTCTGTAGAAAATAAGGAGTACACCTTTTTTTACCAATAATAAAAAGAACCCGACAATTGTAAAAGACATAAGAGTCGAAAGATAGGGCAACGATTCGAGGCTCATTTTTTTCGCGAGTTCAACGAGCTCGATAGTCCATGCCACGTGCTGGAAGCAACCTTGCGTTTGGCTGGCATTCTGTTCAGGGGGAATTAGTAATAACTCTTGCCACTTTATCCTACTGAAATCATGAAATTACACGATGAGAATTCTCGCGAGCTGAAGTCCTTTTTTACCTGAACAAGGTTCTAGAATTGTCGACGGTACTGCGGTACTGTTGAAGTATCATTACGATCTTATCACTCTCTATGAGTATTGATCTAAATGTGTACTCGTAAATGACTACAGAATTTACAAAAAAATGGCAGAAAAAGTTGTAACTGTCGGTGAACTTTTGAAAACGCTTTTACCTGAAATATTACGTTTCATATCTCATATCTTTTGTTTTTCATCTTCCTACTTTTGGTTTCAGAGCTGTTTGTAGAGCTCGATATACCTTTGTTATGCAAAATGTGTTCAACAATTATTTATGAATGGTCATGGGGGATAAGTTTTTTTCTCCGAGGCGAAGCCAAGGGGAACCCTTAATATGCGGGAAAGCAAGCAGGGCGGCGGTTAAGGTTGCAAATCTTAATTTTCTACATGAAAAAAAGTGAGGTCCTAAAATATAAAAAGTTTCAGTGAAGAATCAGGAATACACCGTTTTTTAAATTCCTTTTACTTATAATTAAAATTTATAGCAACCTGACGATTGTAAAAGGCACTAGAGGCAAATAGTGTGTCATCATTTTTTTTAGGGTAATTTGTTCGTAATTCGCCCTAAGGAGTTTATGAGTTTTTACCACTAGCACTTAACAAGTTCTTCCCTCATTGGAGAGAGTGTTTGAGTTCGGACTAGAGATTATAAACAGTTTATAATCTTTTGGCCGTGAGGTATAAAAATTGGCTTTGTCCTTTCGGCCAATCGATATCATACGTTTTCGGCCAGCAGTTAAACCTTGATTTTTGCCTCTGTGAAACTATAAATAATAATGATAAAAAATTCCTTATTCTTCACTATCCAAATTTTCTTGTCCGGAAACTGACATACATAGTTTCTTCGTAGAATAAGAGAGACGGTAAGTTTTGAGCTCAGTAAAGAAATTGAGAAAGATGTTTTTTTTTTCGTCTTGTCACGAGCGTGGGATAAAGAAAAATTCTGAGTTCCCACGAGGGGACTTAGAATGACGAGGGGACTCTTGGAGACTCAGAAGTTTTTCCTTTGTCCCACGCTCGTGACAAAGACAAAAAAACATATTTCTCTATAGTTTCTTTATTTTCGACGTATTCCGGCGTAACCGTTATCCCATCCTTGCACAGATGTAAAAGATACAGCCGATGACTTCTAAAGTACGGAACAAAAAGACCAAGAAACAATAGAGCCTGTACTACACGCTTAGATCTTATGTGAACAATATCTAAACTGGAAGCTACCAACAATGATATTCTTTAAAACACGCTAAATCCTCGACGCGAAATCCTTCATGCGAAACTCTCAACACAATACTTCAGAGCAGAAAAATGCTTAAATAAGACCTTCGCTTAGCAAGGCGCTCACCACAGATTATTTTCCTACTGACGACTGACAGTTAAAGTTAGGTATGGAAACCTGTACTCAGACGTTCAAGAAACTGGCCTAACACTGCAGCAATACCAGATAAGTATGCCAGAAAATGAAAGAAATCATTGAAGAAAAGGTCAAAAACGGAAGACAACAGACCTTCGAAGTTTTCGTTCGCTAAACAATACTACAACAAAAAATAGGGTATAACAGAAGTTTTAGCTGGATCTAGGAACAGTTGTGGCAGGATTTTTGTTAGATGCCTTCCCTTTAGTTTACATATCTACGAAAAGTTCAGTTCTACAAGTTCGTGTAAGAAATTCGTGGAAGCGGATATAATTTTCGTTCATTGTTCGGCAAAAACACAGCAAGCATAAAATTTCTGCATTGCTTCTAGCTGAGCTCTATCTTAAAAACTCATTTACACGGGATGATCGTTTTGGGGAAGATGAAAACAGGAAAAATGAACTTCCTTGAAGTGTTTAGAAGGTCTGCCAGAGAATCAGTTCAGCTGCTAACCATCCTTAATCGCGTTTCCAGGCTCAGCTCCGCGCCAGGTCGTACCTCTTGCACTTGAACGTTACCATCAATGTATTCATAAGCCCCCCCTTCCCTCCCTCACTACTCTGCCGCTTCTCTAACTTAGCCCGTTGCATTAGGGAACCACATTCACAAAACGAGAACAATTGTTTTTTCCTTTAACGTCAAGTATAATGGAAGTGTAACGCCTCAATCGACCGTGGGAGCAGAAACTGAGGTTGACATCAGCTCTTGTATTTTGTTATCAGTCAATTCCTTGCTCGTTCCTTGGTTTGAAATAGAGATTCATTTTCCTGATAAAGATCCTCGCGGATGTGCGACCTAAGTCCTTCCTAAACTCCTGACGACATTTGGAAAACCGAAGGCTTATACACTGAATTGTCAATATTTAAGAGCATATTAAGGTAAAAAGGGCGACAAAAGGGAAGAATCCCCTTGAACTCACTAAAGCTATTCTTGGCGAGAAACATGTTAAATCATAGCTTATCAAAAAAATTATAAATCAATACACAATCTACAAAGCTCATGGTTTGGAAATAAAACACTTTATTGTTAATTTAATCAGTAACATTTTATCAAAAGTGTTTTTCGTGTCTGAACAAGTAGGATAAATTTTCTATATTTTCTTATATAAATATTCAGCTTCTCTTTTCATTCTTGCTATAAACCCGTATTTTCTATTCAGTTTCTCACTTTCTTCCTGGCAACGAGCTTAAAAAACCTTTGAAAACAAAATTGAGCTTTCAATATCATAACCTTCACAACAACTCAACCTCGTACCTATACTTTTTACTTCCCCTCGCCGCGTCCAATGATGTAATAACGGGCAGTGATCCATATCAAAAACCGAGAGCGGGAGATGAAGTGAAGTAATTTTTGCGAAAGAAATGGCGACTCGGCGACTATTGGGGAATTCTACTTTCTGGTTGTAGTAATGTAGCACATTTAGCCTTTCTAAAACTAAGCTATTGATTCAACATAAGTGATTTCCAAATAAAATTTGTTTTAGATGATGTTAACTTAGGCGCAGACCAAGGTATTTACAATAGCAATGATTCATCTTTGATGGAATAATATTTACAAACGGTTAGTTGTGGTCGTTATCGCTGTCGCTATCATGGCTATTGCTATAAAAAAGTAGTTCTCTTTCCACGGTCTCATGATTTGTCTTATCAAATAAGACTCTTAAGAAAAAATCTGTAAAACTTGGCAAATCCAATTGGATTTACACTTAAAGGGTAGAGAGGGTAGATTGTTTATGTTTAAATGTAGTTTTAGCAGTCGAATCGTTAAAAGTGTCAGAAATTGAAAGACGTGTGTAGGAAACGGTAGCAATCCATGGTAGCTAAGCTTGGAAGGAACAATCAAGTGTGAATATTACATGTGAAATTCTCGCACTATTAATTTACACTTCCTAGAAGGAAAGCTTAAGCTGCAGTCACAGAGTCGGGTTTCTTGACAGCCATGAGAATTAAAACCACACCAACAATGACAAGGATCCCACCAATCACAGGTAAGGACACGAGTAAACCACACGACATTCGAAGGCTTCCAAACACCTGTAATGACAGAGAGATGATAAATTCTTCCAGAATAATTATCATCGCAGTAAGCTACACAAATATAGAGGAAAGTTTATAACACTGTTAAACAAAAGAACACAAAATAGGCTTGTACGGAATTCCATCTCATATTGCTCCTTTTCTAGCAGTGCATTTCTTATACCGAGAAATCAAGCAAACTTTGAGATGTTTCTATCCAGGTTCGATATAAATCTGATCTGTCCTAGATGGATACATTAAAGAATAGCAAAATCGTAAGTAAATAGATAAATCAAAAGAGAAGTAGATAACTTGAGTAAAAAGGACATGAATTAATTAAATTTCGACCCGAAGAATGCAAACCAGTTGGCTTGCTACAAAAGCATAAAAACGAGTTGAACTAGGGAAAACCGGGAAAAAAACAGATTGTGAGAATTGTGATGAAGGATTTGAGATAGTCGGCCACGCCGCTAACTCGTCTCTCTTTTTTTTTCCTCATAAATTTGCACCCCTCCCCGTTAACGATGACGAACGTCAGAGTTTTGATCGCATTGATGAAAATGTGGGCGAGTTCTCCTTTCTTTTTCTCATTTGTAAAAGGGGAAGAATGGAAATAGATTTTCAAGGAATGCATATTTCTATGGTTTGATTGTTCATGATTCATTAAAATTGTTGTTTTTAGGTGTTGCAGCATACTGATCTAGAGGCGAGGGCGGTGCGATGTGTATACATCTTATCTATTGGTTCGAGTGGGAAACCATGCCCAAGAAATTGAGTATCACCATCTGGACTGGGCTCCAGAACGCAAAAGTGTGGATCGTTTTAGGAGTCCTATTCGTTCATTTACCTGTGAGCTGTATTCCTTAGCCGTGTCTGCATCAATGGTTGCTTCTATTTCCGTCCACGACATAGGAATCAATTTTTTAACAAAGGTCACATTTGTGCCGGGAGGTGACAAGTCACTTGATAATATTCCATTCAGCTGGATACGAAGTTTGAGTTGCATAACGCTCCCAGATATCGGCTCAATACTCAGCTAGGACAAAGTATATATCTATGGTTAACCGAGGTGAAGATCCATATCAATTAAGCTAGCTAAAGTTAGTTCATATCGATTCCTTCGCTTTTCAGATATTCCTTTTATTAAATGTTAATCCTTTATCTCACCGAAAGATCTAGAAATCCCACCAATAGGTGAGGCGCCTCCTTAATCAGAAGCAAGTAAGATAAGTTAGAAACATGCTTGAATTTGAAACATGGACATGTGCCAACTCCCGTTCGAACGGATGTCCTTTGTGCAGCAGTGATTCAAAGAGTGGGCAAGAAATGAAAAGTTGGTGACGTACGTTGCTAAGTATTTATTATTTCAATATTGCACCATTTACCGTATTAGGGTAACGGAATGCGCAAAATATGCGACTATATTACTCTTAAGACCAGGTAGGTAATACGGACGGAAATGGAGCGACGATATAACTGCTTTGAACGATCCAAAAGGTAGCTACTGTCTCTGCCATAGACAGCACTCCTAATCAGGACGTTTCCTTCCCAAACAATCAGTTTAATCGATCGATTACCGATCAGTTGATAAAATGATCTTGATACCTTACATAAACTTACCAGGGACTCGTGCTCGTCTGCAGTAGGTTTATCAAGCCCCAGATCCTTGTGAAGAGACTCTTCTCCATAAAGAAATGCCGGTAGGCTGGCGTAGATGGGACCTCCAAAAACCCGGCTCACATCAAAAACACCTTTGGTGAACACGGTCACGTTATTTACCTCAACTGCAGCCTCATCCAATAAGTATTTGTGCATTGGAATTTCGTGTATTTCGACGTCCTCTTTGTATTTGACGGGAACAGGGAAACGGAAATGAGAAATGAAAATCTCATAGCTGTTTTCGGTTGGAGCGTACTTGGTTGAACAAGCTTTTAAACTTTTCTTTCCAGGAAATTGTGTGTAGTAGCCACGAACCTTGAGCTGTACATTAGACGCGTTTGGATATAGATTGGCACTAACTGTACTTTCACCTCCTACCGCTAAGAAACAAAAGAAAGTAAGAGTGATTGTTCCGCTCAAGCAAGTCATACATCCCTGAAAAGTCCAATTCAAGGGCTTATTTTGAATCACTCGGGCAAAAAAAATAACAGTAAATCTTCTAATGAACCTGAGACATTTTTGATCGGGTCATGTAATGTTTGAGGTCGCTATAGCTCTCCAACTCTTTAAATGGCGAAGGTTTTGTCTTTGGCCAAAATATTTTCACTAAAGCTTTGAATCCGGAAAGTCGCCTTGGAAATAAGATAATTTCTGCTTTGCGCACAGAGAAAATGTTTTGTAACTTACCTTTCTTTTATTGCAGAAAGCCCCCTTCATAGCTCGCCAACCTACTTTTAGGCTTGGTTTCAAGTTCCTTGAATTAATTTTTTTGCATAACTCGAATTTGACCAACAACTTTGGAAATCTTAAAGAGAGGCTAGCGTAAATAAGACATATTTTTCCCTATTCGGCCTAAAACCTTCCTCCTCACTTACGATTTTGAATTCAACGGTGTTCAATTCAACCTCTTGAAGATGCTGTGAAGATATTTGAGCAAGAAAGCTGTTCCCAAACTTTACCTGCAAAAGCAAATCTGTTTCCTGTGGATTCACAGGTGTGGAATGTAGAGCTTGTTGCCACCTTCCTGGCTTCAGTTTCATTAGCATGTGAGGTTACTATCCCTGGGACAGGTATTCTGGTTGAGTTTCTTGGTAACTGTAGTACATACCCAAGTGTCAAGTCATTCTGATTTTGAGTGGTCGTCGCCCCAAAGTTGTTTTTCTCCAGAAAAAAAAGGACATATTTAGAAAGTTCAGCGATGAACGCGCCGAGGGCTTCATGTGTGCCATTCTTTGAGGTGTTGAAGCAAGCTAATTGCGGATCTGGACACAATAATAGTTGTATTGATACTGCAGCTTGAAGATCCTTGGAGAATTTCGCGCATTGTACACTGAACAAACTGCCGTTTAGGCATTTTTTTCAAGCAGTGGTGTGTCTGTAAATGGTCCGAATTTCGATGCGTTCAGAAATGAACTGTATAAGCCGTTCATCTCTACCACAGAGTAATTTTTTCGTAGAGACGCAAAATATGGAGATGAATTGATCCAGGAGCCAAAAGCAGGGTTCGATGGGTATGGCAACTTTAGCTGATTGTCGGCTTGTCCCATTTGAAGGAGGATATGGCTATTATTCAGACCTTGCTGCCTAAGCCCGGCGAACGATACGTTCATCACGAGGGGTATAAGAACCTGGCTCAGGTCCTTTCCTTTGACGAGGTAACCTGCATTCAATATCGTTAGCTGAAAAAAGAGAATTTACAATTTGAGCAATATAGGCGATAGGAAATATTATCTTTAAATTATCTGTATTATTATTATTATTATTATTATTATTATCATAGATACTATTATTAAAATTTGAAGAGGAAACATATGGAGAGGAATTGATCCAGGAGCCAAAAGCCAAAAGGGTCGATGGGTATGTTAGGTTTAGCTGATTGTCGGCTTGTCCCATTTGGAAGAGAATATAGCTATTATTCAGACCTTTCCCCCTAAGTCCGGCGAACAATACGTTCATCACGAGGGGTATAAGAACCTGGCCCAGGTCCTTTCCTTTGACAAGGTAACCTGCATTCAATATCGTTAGCTGAAAAAAGAGAATTTACAATTTGAGCAATATAGGCGATAGGAAATATTATCTTTAAATTATCTGTATTATTATTATTATTATTATCATAGATACTATCTTGCAATTCTTGTCATTCCACCCACGATCACTATAATTATTATTATTATTATTATTATTATTATTATTATTATTATTATCATAGATACTATCTTGCAATTCTTGTCATTCCACCCACGATCACTATAATTATTATTATTATTATTATCATTATTATCGTTATCATCATTTTCATTATCGTAATCTCTATTGCAACCAAGAGTAGGAGTAAAGATTATTTTTTCTTAGAACAAATGGTCTTCATTGTTCCCGAGTTAGTCATGATCGTTTTCCATGAAAACGGGCACTTTGATGCCATGTTAGTAAATAGTTACTGGTGATTCAAATACATTAGTTGCCTTTATGAGGAACGTTCAGAGAAAAATCAAGCTTGTCTAGTGAGTTAATAGTCCTGTCAAGTTGTTTTATTTCTTAAGATGGACAACAAAGGGTGATGTTAAGGTTTGGGTTTGAAACTGTTTCTTTTTGGAATTAGTTCTTGTTTTCATTTTAACAAAAACATCGCTTCTCCTATCCGTTAAGATTGCTCTTGAATTAGAACGAACCTTATCGTCTTCGCCACATGTTGGACATTCTTCTTTGGTAAGTATCCTGTTGAATTCAGCCTTCTCGAACGATTTGCTTGTGACTTTTGCACCTTCGAACTTCACGTCAATTTCCTTTGATGTTATACTGTAGACGTACGGACCTACTTGATGAAGCTAAATTGAAGACAAAGATACTAGGAAAGGTGACTCTTAAAAATTCTAACTTGGTAACATTAATCGAAAGCTACAAGCTTCTCTTACTCAATTACTGGGCTATGTATAAGGTTTGTAGTTGGATTGGGTGAAGATCCGGGGCAACTTAAATTTCAAAAGAAAACGGTCATGTGAAATAATTCCTTTGTCCTGAAAGCAATATCCACCATGATTATTAAAAGAAAGCAATGCTACAATAAAGTCGTTCAGATGAAAACTTCCCTCAAAGTGTGGTGTCCCTGGATTGGGTACCAACTGGTTAAACCTTAGTTAGTGAAGCAAAGTTATTTTTTACCAGATTATACAAATCTATATTTAATCAAACTGATAAGCATCAGGAAGGCATGTCCACACTCTCACACGACATACGTGATAACAGTGGGACCACGGGAGAAAATAATTAGTTCTCCTGAATTAATGAGGAGTAGCAAAATACAGTTTTATATCACATGGTCATTTTCGTTTGACTGCACCTGTGGTTTTTCTCCTCGACGAAGAAATCCATCTTTGTTGGTGATATTCCAGTAGTAGACTCTTGTTGTGTAATGACTAGGTCCCTCCTGGAGATAAAACACAGTGTTTACCGTTGAATAGCTTAACTGGGAGGTCCAAAAATCATGAAATATCTAGATTTACTATACAGATACTGATGAAATACCAGGATTTTTCCTTTTACTAAAAAATCATATCTTCATCGCGCGTTGTTAGGATACTATTTTTATCTTTAACGTGTGAAGATATTGGTGTCGCCATGGTTGCCAACTGAACATGATTAGCCAATCACAAGAGAGCTTCCCGCTCAGGCGCGCGGCCGGTTCTTTTAAATTTCATTCAGTAATGTTTATCTATCTTTTATGTAGGAATTTCTTGTTCTGACGAAGCAGCATGTTTTGCTCAAACTGTGGACATAAGTGTGAAGACACTGGCAGGTTTTGCTCGAATTGTGGGCATAATATCGCCACAAATTGTAGAAAAGGTATGTAGGTCTCATTTTTTTCTCGTTTTTGGTAAAATACACAGAATACTCACCCATCTTTTATATCCTGGGCTGTCCTTGCCGTTCACACAAACTGATTCTTCAATTTTCTCCTGAGCTGCATTTGGTAGTAGGAGTCCAATGACAACACCAAGTATTACCAAGACGAGGCCTGTTATGAGCAGCGCCACTCCGGCAACTTTCTTGCTGCACATGGTTGTTTCTTGTTTCCTTAATCAAAAGGGGACGCGTGGATTTAATCTGTCCGTGCTCAATGATTCGAGCGTTAGTAGATCCCTAAGTTTTCAACGTCCATTCACTGGTTACTCAAATTGGAATATAACGTGAAAATCGTTAAAATTTTCAATCGCAAACAAATCATTGCCTCGATATTATCTGATTTTCCTCTTAGCTACCCTTGACAGGCGTCGCGCAATTCAATTCAATATCGGCCCATCGGGGGAAAAAGGAAAACATCAGCATAGATCTATTGCAAAGTGGCTGCTTATGATGCTGTTTACTCTCTAGATTGATCTATTCCACGCCATTTTGTGTCTGTGCTTATTGGCAAAAGTGGATAGAGATAAGCGTTCTACTTGGCTAGTACCAAAACATTTGTTTCCTGCCTTAAGAGATGATTTTTTATCGAAAAAGAACGGACCACACCATTGCCCTCTCACTGCAAATCCTCGATATATCCCTCTGATTCCCATTTAGGAATTATTGCAAAAGATTTCTGTTATCCATTTATCTTAAACTTCTTTGTAAAAGCTCACTAACGAATTTTTTTCCTTTACTCTCACAGCTCGGTCGTAGGTCGATCGGCTGCAAGTTTATTTTGATTACTGAAGAATGATTTGCCTTTATTTTGAATACAGTTATCTAGAAAATTTTCAATATTCAAATGATCTTTCCATAAAAATTTTCCCAAAGAAAGCGATTGAGGAGTTCAATCTTGCAATTTTAATGTAATTTGTGATAATCGGTATTGACACAAATTAATATTTTGCCGACACGGAACAGAGAACTGGGTGCGAGCGTAGTACGCGAAGGCTCATGGGTAGTATGTTTGTAAGAAGAGACCGTTGAGAAACTTGTTGCATTCTACGGTCAGCCTTGCCACTAGCACTTTCCCATAAGGTTTATTTTTTGTCTTCATCACTTTTCCTTGCCTAGTTATGGACGAAGCAGGCGTCAGGAAAGTAATCGCTGAAAACAACAGAGATCTTATCGTTCAGATCAAAGATCTCGTAAATACTTCGATTTCTGACCTCAAGCGTTCTAACGAATCTATCGCTTCCCAGCAGATGTCAGAGATTAAAAGGTTGAAACGCGATTCCGTTCCTCACTTCAACAAAAAGAGCAACGAGGAGCAGTACAAAGCTAACAAAGCTATTAAAGATGCTGTTGAAGACGCCCAGATTGCCCTCGAAAGGAACGACGTCGAGAAGATCAAACAAGCCTTGGATAAAGGTATGGAGCTGCTTCAAGAGCGTCAAAAATTAATTTTACTGGCTAATAAATCACAGTGCGGGTGGAAGACGGTCCTCGAATACAAGCACCATGATCTCGCAGACGACGAAGAAGATGAGAAAAAGATATACAGGGCCGAATCCAGAGCAGCTAGGTCCACGAAGCGTTTCACATCTCGCTCGACCCGGCAAAGAAGTAATGTTACATCGACTTCAACAACTCCGCAGTTTTCCGCCTCACAGCTGCCCAATTTGTTTTCGCGTGTAAACCCGCAGCTTTCGTCTCAGAGATCGAGGAGTCATTGAGAGCCCAAACAGTCACGTGGTTTACGGATAATCAGAACGTTGTCCGGATCGTTAATTCAGGGTCTAAGACTCCAGCATTACAAGAGCTTGCAATGGATATCCATCGTAGTTGTTTGCCTAGTGCTATTAACATCGATATGCAATGGATCCCAAGAGACCTAAATAGTGCGGCGGACGATATAAGCAATTTCATTGATTATGACGACTACACGATCAACGATACGGTCTTCAGTGTTCTTGACGACTTATGGGGTCCACATACCTGCGATAGGTTCGCTTGTTCCTACAATGCCAAAGTCCAATGCTTTAATTCTAGGTTTTACCAGCCTGGTTCGAGTGGCGTTAATGCGTTTTCTCAGGATTGGTCTCATCATAATAACTGGCTGTGTCCCCCTGTGTATTTAACGTGTAAAGTTATTAAGCATATGGAGCTGTGCTGTGCTCAAGGAACTCTGATCGTTCCCCTTTGGAAGTCAGCCCACTTCTGGCCCATCCTGTGTTCGGATGGTTTCCATTGGAGTACATTTATCCATGACTGGGTTATCCTGCCTAACTTTCCTAATTTGTTCATTAGAGGAAAAGCTAAGAACTCTATTTTTGGTAGTAAGCCATTGGCTTTCGTTTCGTTAGCTCTACGTCTTGACTTTAGCTTCATTCCCAGATTAGATTCCGAGTTATCTCGTAAAAGCTTTCTAGTTCCTTGTGTTTGATTCCATTCGGGCTAGAGTTCGCTGCTGTTTCCACTATGTACCGATAAGGCGTATTATATTTGCGCGAAGTACTTATTATTTGTTGATAATCATTTTCTAAGTTAAACGTGTTAGGCCTTAGAGAGGCATCCAGGAGAGGCCCTAGAGGGGCGATTTGTCATATGTATTTTCATTTTGTACCCTAGAGGGGTATTTTCTGTTGGCATTGTGCAAACGCCCTAGAGGGCTACGTCCACTAGAATAGCATGTTTTTTTCTCTTGTATCGTTTTACGCAGAAGTGTATTGCCTGATCGGCAAAGTGGTCTTCCTGAGTGAAGACAGTGAGTTAAATGTAAATTCAGCATTGTGTGCATTGCTGCCTGTCTCATTGATATTTTTATATTCGCCTTGCCAGTCAGCCAATAGTCAATAGAAAGGAGCCCCTGGACGCCCACCACCTCAAGGTCCTTGCTGCAGAGACTAATCTAGAAGACCTTTTACAATTACGAAATTTAGTTATGTTCATTCTCGCATTTTCCGGTTTTCTTAGAAGTTCCGAGTTATGCGTTATGCGTAGCAGAGATGTTCAGTTTAACGAGGGTTACATTACAATCAGCATAGAGAAAAGCAAGACGGACCAACTGAGGGAGGGCAGGTCGGTCGTTATCGCTGAGTCCTCATCTATCACGTGTCCCTGTTCTTTACTTAAGCTGTATATGCATAAGGCCCAGATTCCTAAAAATTCAGACGAGTATCTTTTTAGGGCCATTTCAGCTTCGGGCAATCACAAGCGCCTTATCTCTGTAAACAAGCCGATTTGTTATTCTACCTAGGCAGTCCTTTAAGAAGTCTTTCGCGAATATTGTACCAGATATCTCTAAGTATAGCACTCATTCAGCTAGGTCAGGTGGAGCTACTTTAGCTGCCAGCTCTGGCATTTCGGAGAGGAATCTTCAGCGCCATGGTCGCTGGGCCTCAGTCACAGCAAAGAACATTTATGTTAAGGATTCTCTTTCCAGTAGGCTAGAAGTTTCCAAGGCTCTGTTTCTCTGAGCTCAAGCCCTACCTTTAGCTTTCTATCTTGGGCCTAGCTGACCAACGCGCCCATGCCTCAACCTTTGAGTGTGTTCGGTTGTGTAGTGAAGGCAAAATATGTAATTTGTGATAATCGGTATTGACACAAATTAATATTTTGCCGACACGGAACAGAGAACTGGGTGCGAGCGTAGTACGCGAAGGCTCATGGGTAGTATGTTTGTAAGAAGAGACCGTTGAGAAACTTGTGGCATTCTACGGTCAGCCTTGCCACTAGCACTTTCCCATAAGGTTTATTTTTATTGTGTAATTAGCCTGATATGATTTGTTTTCTTCATTCTCTTCATTGTTTATAGATCAACCTTAAAACCCCAAAGGTGGCGCCACTGCAGTTGGTCGGGGGTACACGGTCCCTATTTTCCTAACAAGAGGTTTTTGGGGTTTACGTGTCCGGCTTTGGCGCATGTAGGACGTTACTTGATGTATCTCTTATCCACTTTGTTGTAAACTCATTGTCACAATTAAAATATATCTTGGGCCTAGCTGACCAACGCGCCCATGCCTCAACCTTTGAGTGTGTTCGGTTGTGTAGTGAAGGCAAAATCAATATTTTAAGCTGACTATGACATGTCGAGTAATTTACGTATGTGCTTCTAAGGAGCTAAGTCAAGGATTATTTTCAGTTTATAAGACCCACAGAAAATTAAATCATTATGATAAGATAACCGCAAAGAGGTAATAAATGCTAAAGAGGGTCTGAGGCAGCTAAGGATGGAAAATATTGACAAGGTTCAAGAGGGGCTCGTGGCACCTCCCTAAATGCTGGAGTAAAATTCAGGAAAGGTCTCCAATCACAAGCTAGCTTAGGGATTCTTACCTACTTGCCATATCGTAGCGTAAATGAATAGAGAAATAACTTAATTTCTCAATCGACGACATAGAAATCTAAAATTGCTCTTCGTTATCTTATAGACTTCTTTTCACAAAGATAAAGCGTTCATAATGCACACGGACCCTGTCAAACCAATGTCTAAATTTTTTTCAAACTCAAGACAATTCCTGGTGAAATATCAGCTGACAACATTAGAGTTCGCAAGGTTGGTAGATAAAGAGAGCCCATTTTGTTGCTGCCATAATTCTTCATGTAGTTTCTCATTTGAATGGTTTTAATTATGCGTGAACTCGTAAATGCCTACACAACAGAATCGTTGAGAAAACAACGATGTCCATGTTAAAATAACCTGATGACTGGTATGGTATAGTTCCACCGACCGAAGAGGAAAAAACAAGCTCTTGCTTCACGTTTTCCAAAACCTTGTCAGAGTGAAAAACTGGTATGACTAGAGTTATCAAAGTGAACCCCTTAACGAGTCTTAATTCTAAGCGTACCGTCGCTGTGATAAGGGCGGAAGTTTTCAAGACCTTGCTAATCAATGATTACGGAAGAATGATTTACATTTGGCCAGAGCCTTTATTCGGAAATTACAGTACTACATGATTAGAACTACTTGAATGGAACGGATAAATCGCCAGGAAATCGATTCAAGACATGATCTGCTTGTCAAATCATACGCAAAAGTACATTGTCCGCTTAAAAGAATAATTGTGCTGGAGAGGTAAAAATTCTAACGGAGTCGGTAAAATATGTAGTCCTTAAATTAAACGTGATTAGACGCTAACTGTGCGAAAATGAATTGATCACTGCTTAATTCGAAAAGTTCTGTCGAAAATGCAGTCAATTGAGTGTTTTTGAAGAAATGGTAATTCTCTGTAATTCAGAAGATCTACTTGTCTCTAAAACATTAGTCCAATACGAAATCTCTTTACCAAAACGACGAAAAAATGAGCTAATTCAATTTGTTGATCAGGGTTGTTGCCATGGTTAAAAAAGAAGTGGGTAATTGCATTTCGGAACTGAGAAGTTCCTTCTCACTTAGCATCTCATGAAATTAAACGCTTTCTTAGTTTTTTTTTCTTTGCTGGGCTAAACGTTTTCTTCTTTTATCAAACATTCGTTTTATAATTTGGATCGGTATCAGGGAAGATCTAATTGTCTTTCGAACTAATTCAAACAGCGACAGCTGAAAAATTGTCGTATATTTGGAACTGAAGACAACCTCAGTTGTTGCCGCAATGTCAGTCTCTTTAAAATTAACCCATTTTACAAGCTGTAAGACAAATAGGTTTCAACAACTTTGGCCTTTTGGAATATAAATGGTTTAATTATAATGTATGAACTGAAAGGGATTTTCAAAAACCTGAAAATCGCAACTTGCAGTTGATATTGATGTCCGTGCTAACTTAACGGAGATGGTGAATTTGTCAGTCCACTTGGCTTTTTTTTTCCCCGGGGAATAGCATGTTTATTTGCATTGCGCATGAACTCGGTCGTCTTTTCTAATTCAATGTTAGACTCTCCTTCCTCTCAACAATCGCCATTGTGCGGTTCTTTCTGCCGTTGATTTACGTACCTTTTGTATTCTTAGCATATATGGTTTTAAGGTAATGACCAAAGTAAGGAAAAAATCCTTTGCGAAATTGCTCTTCATGAAAATATTCTACGACTGGAAAGGAAGCAATTAATCTTTGGAATGACAGTACATAAACGATGGGGTAAACGTACCTTGCCTTTTAAAATCCGTTGATTTCCCTCGGTAGCTACAAGAAAGGTAGTTTTGTCAAATTAGAGCGAGTTTCGTGTGGTTACTGTGCATGTCGATTAGAAACACGCTCCTGGCGAGACAATGAACCGTCAGTGTTTTTTTACAGCTCGCACTTATACCAAAGCTAACATGAATCATACCTTATTTGACCACCTGCACTTTTGACAGATCAGGGTGAAAACAACTAATGCACGTGTCCTCGGCAACGTCTTTTGAAACTTCACAATTCTCAGCTGGCTATTCAAGGAATAAATGGAATAATTTCGCTCAGAAATGTTTCTCTAATTCCCTCGGTATCAAATGGAAAACCCTGAAGCCATCTTTCAATGCAGTTTTTCATACTCATTAAACAACCTATTTTTAAAAATACGGGTTGTAATAATAATCTCCATATGTAAATAATATCATGTAGACCACGAATTGTTGTTCAGAGAAAGCGATTTAAATACAGTAAAAAAGGGACTAAATATTCGTAACAATGTCCAGTTGTCTTAGTTGCATATAAGAGTGGTAGGACGTTAAAACTATATTTATTATATTTAGTAAACATAGGATTCAGATCGAAGCAAGCAATTTAGGTTCCGACATTTAACAAAAGCGGGTGGTGGTGCTGTTGTTGCAAAATGAGTTTTTTTTAAAATCAAACTTTCAATGCATAATTTTGTTTGGAATCTCGATGAACCTCGATGTTTTGGCGAACGAAGATAGCTTTTATGTTGGCACATAACCGAGAGTGGTGTTTGCCGTGTGTTCTCTTCGTGATTGAGTTTCGCTGTATGATTTGCATCGTAACCAAGTAACACTGTGGGATAGAAACCGCAATGTTTATATTCAATTACTAAATGAGCAGCAATTCAAAAGTCCTAACTGCACTTAAAAGCAGATTAACTCGACTTCTTTCCTTTCTTAAAATTCAGAAATGTATTCCTCAATTTTCATATATCATCAATATTTTAATAAAAGTTGCTCTTAAAAAATTCAATACCTCCTACGCTCAGTCAAGTTCCGGTTCAATATTCGCGGGAAATAGCCGCATTTATTTCACGACAACCTAATGTATTAGTTCGAATCTGATTGTATTCACTACACATCTTAATCCATTTGAGAGAGAATCGAACTTAGTCATTACTTTATGCGAAAAAGCAACAATGTTTTTTTTTTGTATCGTCTAGACTTTCATAACTGAGTTTTTTTTAATTACGTGCTTTGTCGTCAGCAGCGACTTTCCGTTTGAAAACATGATCGGGTAAATGAAAAAGACACTTTGTTAGGGTGCAGCTGGTTCGCTTTGGAACTGAAGCATATGTAGAGGAATATTCTCTCTTAGGACTACTAGCTATATCAATAAAATATGATAACGTAAAACCTTACTTGATTTCTCAGTTATCAGAACTAAAAACTACCATGATTATCATAAAAAAATGAGCAATGTTAGCTTCATGGGATAGTAGGGCTCGATGTGAAAAAAATCTGACTGTTACCTGAAATCTGTAAAAAAAAAAAAAAAAAAAAAAAAAACTGATGACTACGACATCTCTGAATACACGATGTTTTTTTTTTGCAACGTGCAGCAAAGCTATTAATTTCAATCATCTTCAGCACAGTTTCTGGTGAGGAATAAAGAGTTTCTGGTGAACTGATTTACATTCTTAATTCTAGATGCAATCGATCGTTCCCAATATAAGAGATGGATGCTTTTTGGGACAAGGAAGCACCTTTGAAATATATTTTTTGGGAAACACATAGTATTATAAAGCTCGTGGTCACAAGGGGAGGTACATGTAACACATTTTATTTTGAACCGGCTCCAGTTCCGCAAAGACTTTTCTTTTCATGCAAAGTAACTTAAAAAACAAAAATTGCTGATTAGAGAAGACAAACATGTAGGAAACAAGGATATACCAATAAGAAAAAGGCTGGCTTAGAATGAACATCGCCAATCATGATGGTTATAGATATATTTTAAAAATTTCCATGAGAATTCTCTAATTCCGTCATTTGAATTCAAAACAAATTTGCACAATCTATCTCAGTAAATAAATTACAATGGTTGAAAGGTAAGAAAAGAATCGGATCTACAAGTTTGTGCTGAAAAAGATTGGACAATGCGCAACTTTATATGCTTATACAGAGTC